TTAGGCACTGGTATCTTCTACTTTCTCGAGTGTCTTTATCTTTAGCTTTTTTCTCTCTTTGAAATCATCCAAATCAGAAACCAAGATTAGCTTAGGTGATTTTTTGAGATTAATAAAATTTTGAAATTATCTTGGAATATGTGTGGATGTCATTCCTAGATAAGAATTCGAATATCCACCGAGAATTAGAATTTATACTCTAGTTCCTTGAAAATATTGGGTTGATCGTGGCTCAAACCCTTAAAGGTAAACAAGATCTACCATATCTGACGATTGCTCTTGAAAGCTGAAATTTTCTTTCACTATTTTTTTCTTTTCAAGTTTTTTGAGCATATCCATTATTGTACTAAAATCCCCTCTTAGTTTTTCTTGAGCTTTCTCGATTCTCTCAAATCGACTGGCTTATTCTTGCTCCATGATTCTTGTTTGAGTCTTGATATTATATGAATAACGAGTAGATTGAGTCAAAATTTTTGGTGAGCGAGCTATTCTTGAACCTTTATTACCATAAAATTTTTTGAAAAAAATTAGAATGCCATGTGTCAAAAATTTTATTTTTTATTTTTATTTTTTGAAAAAAAACAAAAATGATGTAAATGATGCATGTATGCAAGTGAAAAATATTTACTTTTGGATAAATTTCAACACTAAAATTTTTATTGATTCCATATAACTTTTATTACATGAAATTTATCATTATAGAATTATATTCATAGAAGTGTTTAACTTGTTCATAATGGTCTTTCGTTTCATTTAGAAAGTTCACTAGGCACTGTCTATATTCTCCTATGGGATTGACCTCTCTTCTTAATGCTTCTACCTTTTCAACCATCTTTCATGCCTTTTTTACTATCTTGCAAACTTGATTGGTCAAATGCTTTATGTATTGTTGCCTTTTCAAGCTTTCTACTTTTCATCTCATACGAGCATCTTTTTTCAATCATATGTGAAGATCCAATCTTTTTCTACTAAAATATGATACTTATGATCTTGCAGTTGTAACTCTAACCCTTGGATTATTTGGTAAAGTTATTTTTTTTCATTCAGTACTTCAAAGTACTTTCTTCTCTCTTTTACGAGCATGGCTTTCAACTTTTCCTTCTCTTTTTAGCATTCTACTAATCTTGTTGAAGCTGTAGAGCATAACCCTTTCCAATTCTGGCATTCTTGAAAATTTCGGTGGTCTCTTCTTACTTTTCTTGAGTTTTACTTTTTCATTGATTCATTTTCTCTTGGAGCTCATCCATTTCACGTTGTCGACTAAAGTAAAACTTGATGATTTTTTTTATTTTAAATTAAACTTATAATCTCTTATTTTTTGGTGTAGGTCTTTCAATTCATTGTTGGCCACATCTTATTTTTTATGATCTTTTCAGTCTGCTCTTTTGTATTTCTATTTATTTTTTAATTATCCCACCTTCTCGTGAAGTTTCAAATGTTTTCTTCTTATTTCTTTTTTTTTTCAGCTTCTAATTCTTTCTTAATAAGCTCAACTTCTGATAATTATACTTCTGTTAAAAAATTAGTCAATTGGTGTGAGGTATCATCAAGAGAGAGTACTATGTCTCTCAGACACTTTACTTTTCAAATCTAATAATCAAGAGTGACTTTGTCAATAAGAGGCCCTAATTTTATTCTTCATGTTTTCTTCCATGCCTAGATTAATTGCTTTGAGGTTTTTGGTGGATTCGATTTTCCGTAAGTGAATTCTACTTGAACCAAGCCATGAGTGGTAAAAACAAACTACTTTGCACTAAATTGCCTAAGTACCATCAACGAAACGTAACTCACAACACCTCATAGCCCTAACAATGGTATCCACGGTTCATTTTCTCCACGATACAATAAGGGCACATGAAGCATCCAAAGCGTTATCCATTTAATTTTATCCTCGGTAAGCCTTCGTAAGAATAGAATCCACTTATTCTTATCTTCAATGTCGGCCATTGACTTTTACAAAATTTTTTGATTGGTGCCTTGTATCAAAGATACGATTTTGAAAATGTACTCCTCTTGCACTTCAAATGACTTCTAACCCATACATATAATAGTGGTGCACATCTTATGAACCGTCTTTTTCATTCTGTCAACAAAAATTTAATGACTTGATGATTTTAGCTAGGACTCTTAGTGTGGGATTAATTATTTGGTTTTAATTTGCTCAAAAAAGTCTACCATAGTTATCTCAGTGTAACCCAAAGTCTTCGAAAAGATTACCATACCATACAATACTAAAGCAAATATAGCCAGGCCTTGATCATCATTAAAATGCCTTTGAATAAAATTTTAGAGAAAATTTTAACGGATATCGAGATGTTCACCTTTAAGCTTTATACAAGAATCTATGATTTTTACTTTTACCCCCATAAGCTTGGTCAACTTTTTATGATAACTTGATTTTAGTTTTTGGGTAAACACTTTATTTGGATACTGTAGTTATATTTCAAGTAAAATTAAATACTCCTCAATAATTGGCACCAAATCTTCCTGATTAAAACTGAAGCATTTATAGGATATATCCCAAAACTGTATAGCTGTCTTGACCAGTTGTTCATCAATCACTACTAAAATGAAAGATGCAATTTGCCCATACTTCTTGCAAAAACTTTTTTTTCTTTCTTCATTTAACTGACTTCAGATGATAGTTAAGTCTTTTAAATTATTCTGTGTGAGATCCAAATGTACTTTTTTGGGTAACTCAAACACATAATCGGTGGGCAAGCAATCTTCACTTCTTTGTTGGGTTCCTTTTGACCAAATATATACTTCATTATATGCTTCACAAGAGACATTGATTGAAGATGAGCAAATCTGTAGTTTTATAAAATCCATAAAAAATTTTAGGAGAAAGATGTCCTAGAGAAAATACCTTAATGCAGAATTATATAATATGATTAATGTAAAAAAAAAAACAGAAAAAAGGAAAAGAAAATAAAATTGAGTTAGTGAGAATGTGATTTAAAATTTAAAAAAACAATTTTTTGTAGATTTTTTTATTTTGTTTTGTTTTCATTTTTTGTTTGTGTTTTTTATTACACACAACCTTTATTCCTACATGTTTTGGGCTTAGGTATTTTCTATAAAAGGGTGGGTGAGGCTCTACCTAAGGTTAGTTTCCTAGGCTTAGTATATGCTTAGTTTGGATTGACATGTGTCTAAAGGTCTCCAAATTATTCTTCAGTGTCGTCCATGTTGAGCTAGTAAAGTACCATGATCCTTACATATTATAGGCTACAAACGAAAAAGGTTCAATTTGAGTGAAAGTATTTCGATGGCTATTGCGGATGTTATCACCTCCCGAGAGCATAGGTACTTTACTTCTTCCTATAAGGAAAGAGCTCCGATATAGAGCTCATGCATGAGGTGCAATGTGTCATTGTGTATGCATATGTTTCCTAATTTATTGAGAATAACACATATAAAAATACATAAAGGGCATAGTAAAAGAAACGTGTGTGAAATTTTCTTTTGTGTTTTGTTTTCGATTTCTTTTGTTTTTATTTTTTTTTTGTTTTTTGGTTGCTTGAATAAAAATATAGGAAATAAAAAATTAAACATCAATTAAGACTGTTTAAATAAAAAATTAAAGATAACACTAGTTAATTTTAGCCTGACTCTCGAAAACAAATGGCTTTCCTAGTAAAGTTACCAAGCTGTCGTAACGATTTTGTGTCCGCCCAACAAATTTAGAAAAAAACAAAAAAAAGAAGTTGCCACCAATCTTTTTTTTGCTAGGTGCAATTGGTCACCTATTAAAACTTATCATTTTAATTAGATTTTAAAATTAATTAAAATTTATTAAAAAGATAATTTTATGGTCTACGAAACAGTTTGGGTTCGAGAGTCGATTACGTGTGGGGAAAAGATTAGCACTCCTACAGTGCCCGTTTAAAACGATACCAATTAATTATGTATTATCCATTGATTTTGATAAAAAAATAGTCTTATTTTTGGTATTTGAAAAATAATTTTCTTAATTTCCTTTGTTTATTAAAATTTTGATTTTTTTAATACCTTTTATTATTTTTCCATATTTATTGTTCAAATTTTATTTGAGAAAAATAAATTAGAATCATTTTTATTAAAATAATTCTTAAAATGTTTCAGTATGTTGGTAACATTAGAAGAACTCATTTTCATCTAAAGATTTATTAGGCATCGCTTCTCGAAATATCTTAAAATCTCATCATCATAAGTTCGAATTTACTTTTCGTAAAAACTTTATTAAGCATGCAATGCAAAATGCTGATATGTTGATGCATGTATTTTATTCTCTTTTTTAGAAATTTTATTGATTGTTTTATTTTTATTTAAATCTTTGAAGAAAAGAGAAAATTTTATTATATTGACGATTTTCTATAAATATTTCAATATACTGGTAATATTTAAAAAAATCTTCTCACCTAGGATTTTGTAAAACATCACTACTCGAAATACTTTTAGAATCTCATTATTGGATAAATTTTTTCTACATTTATCTTATTATTATTTTTAATTTTTTAGTAAAAAGAAAAATTTTTATTGTGTTAAAATTTTTTTATAAATACTCTAATATACTGGTAGTATTTAAAAAAAATTTTCTCACATAAAAATTTAGTAGGTATCATTACTCAGAGTACCTTTGAATCTCATCGTCGGATAAAATTTTTTTTCTTACATTTTTATTATTTTTATTTAATTATAACTTTTTTACCAATTATTTTATAAGGTTTATTCCAAATTTTAATAAAATTATCAAAAAAAATTTTATTATATATTTCATCATTTATTTTTTATTTATTTCAACAAAAATTTATTCTAACAGATATAAATATTTTTAATATGCATGAATATTAATAATAAAATTTAAAGTAACGAAAATAATATATAAAAAAAATTCAAAAAAAAATTTTTTTTACTTGACCGGTCCGGTCAACATTGGTTTGGTTAGTTTGACATAGTTTGATTTGGTCTGGGTTGATTCAGTTGGATCGATTAGAAGTCAAATAAAAAGGTGGGTCATGGGTCGGTGCGTGGACCCCGGATCAGATCACGAGTTAACGTGCGAATCTTTAGGGCTAAAATGGTATCGTTTTGTCTTTATTGAAACAGCGTTGGTTTGGCTCTTGCAGTCAAATTTTTTTTCGATCATTTCTTCCCTTTCCCAGAAAAAAAAACTCTCTTTTTTTTTTTTTTCAGGCAAGTTAAGGGCTGGTGGCTGTTTACTACGACAGTCGCTGTGTTCCTTGTCGTCGGTGAACTCCGACCATCGTATCGATCGTCGAAAAATCTCAAAAAACATCAAAATGCTCCCCACAGCCTTCAGAGTCTAGATTTGAGTCTGATTTTACTAAAAAAGGTTCTAAACGATGCATATTTGACCTGAAAGTTTAGATCGAAATTTTTTTATTTGTGTTTGTGTTATTTTTTTTGTTTTGTTTTGTTTTTTTTGTTTGGCGTTGTGGTCCTCGTTTTGAGAGGTTGAGTTTTTTGCTTGATTTGTGTTTGTTTAGCTCGTTTTGTCTTGGATTTTTTTTGTTTGACAAAAAGTTTTTTTGAATCTATCAATTTTTTTTTTTTTTTGCTTTTGCAGAGCTTTTGGGTTTTTTAATCGATGGCTCCCATTTTTTGTGCAGGCAATGAGCTCTATTTATAGAGCTTTTTGGGATTCAAATCTCATATTTTCAACCGACCTAAACTTTTAGTGGTCAAAATTTATGTTACGAAATTAGGCAAGGTGTCAAGTGGCTACCAGCAGTTAGCGGTGGCGTTGTTTTTGGACTTTCAAGGAGGATGCATTTAATACATTCATATTTTAGTCCAACCAATCAAAACAGAAAAGAAGAAGAAAAATAAAAAAAGAAAAAATATAATAATAATAATAATAATAAAATACAAAAATGTTGTTTACATGCTATTGTGATGCTGATTGGTAGTTGTCCAAACACTAGACATTGTACGATGAGTCATTATATTTTCTTAAGTTCCAATCATGTTTCTTGGTATACTAAAAAGCAAGTTTCTGTTACTCAATATGGTACTAAAGCAAAGTATATGACTCTTTTTATAGCTTCGCTAGATATATTTTGGGTTTCTTATATATTGGATGAGGTTAGATTTCCTCTTGCACTACCTTGTTCTGTATATTATGATAATATGGGTGTTATTTAATTTGCTATCAATCCAATCTTTCATACTTGTACAAAACATATAGAGACTTCTTATCATTTTGTTCAAGACCTTGTTTGCAAGCATTTTCTTCAAGTCCTTTTGAAATATGTAAATATGTAAATATTTTATCAATAGTTGTACATTTAATTATGTGTAAATATATATGTACTCTCTCATTTTATAAATATACAAACCATAACCCTAAATAAGATAAAGCAGAATATTTGTTCTTTACATATTCATTCCAAATACGCATTGTTGGAAATTTTTTTGAAGTATAGTTTGATGCTTTCTGAGATATAAACTTTAGAATATCGTTAAAGCATAGCAGTTGAAGATTATAAGAATCAAGTGATTATTCATAATCTCAACATGTGAAATAGCTTATGATTTCATGGACATGGATTGGTTTGAGAATCAATGATTCTTAAGAACTTAATTATTTTTTGCCTGGTCTGAAATGATCTCCCAAGAAATGGCAAATCTGTTAACTGCTATAGAGTGTTCGGTTAGCAGACAGGTCAAGCAAAGGAACCATAACGAACATTGTAACAATTATGCTAAAAAAAATAGATGCGTTAACAAAAAACTAAGTATATTCTGCATTACTTGTTTATCTCTGTAAAGAACAGACGAAGCCTACAGGTTGTACCCATTTGTGCAGAAACTGGTTAGTGGCGCCATCACTTGGACGAATATCCATAACATAGGAGCAAGCATGGATTGCACGATCATACACGTAACAACGAGAAAGCAAGAGAGATATGGATAGGACTTGCTAATGCAGTTGGATCTGGCATGGTGAAAAAGGGTATTGTTCAAGCAGGCACCTGAAGCGTAGGCTGTGCTTGATGTCGCTTCTTTTTGGTGAAAACAATGTAAGCTGGGCTGAACCCAAGCTATGCAGGCAAATTGATGCCCTCACAAAAAAGCTGAATTGGGTTATGTTAGTGGAGAGCCTTTTCAAGTGTTTTGCCTGGTATAGTAGTTATTTGAATGATTAACCACTAATAGCAGCATCTCCACCACCATTTGTCCACTTGCCCCTGTTATTGTAAGCAACACTAGAGATTGGACTGGCTATGGGGCCTCTTTGTGGCACGACTGGATCTTGTTCACACAAGGGCCACCACTCTAAAAGCAGCTTGTTTCTTGACAATTGTATACCGCACATGATAAAAGAACAAAAAACGTTTTTCCCCTTATGGCAGTAAAATTGGTGAAATATAATTCATATTATGCGTCAGGGTTTTCTATTTTTTAGTCTCTCAGTGCTGTATACTGTTTTTTTCTAATCCATATTTCAGGTGAAATTCTATAACCAGAGTTGGTGGGGTTCATAAAATGATTAATAGATAAAAGTCATGATTGAGTTTTTGATTTACTTCTGATGGACCACTGCAGATATCATTTTCACATATTCAACTCTGGAATGTTATGCGGCGAGAAGAGCTGCAAACAGTTGCTTCAAACCATGGACAGTTTACTGAACGTCTGTAGACCATTAAGCTGATGAGTTAGGATAAAATGATCAAAAGATGTTATTGCATGGTTTGATTCTGATATCATACAGATCAAACTAAGGCAAAGTCTTGATTAACAACCGTAGCAAACTGAGGTACATATATAGTAAGATAACTCTCATCTCAATGAAGCAAGTCTACAGAGTTAGCAATGGATTGGTTTGTCGACTCAGATCTCAGGTGAGCAGTGTTGCAGGGAACCTCTTCCAGCTCTCTCAATGCAAGAGAATATGGACTGCCGATTTTTAGGTCCATCAGCATCTGGCGAAGATCAGAGGCTTCTTCCTTGAGCCTTGCATTTTCTTGAAGAACTCGGTCATGGCACTCTGATACATGATTTAACTTGTCTATGAGACTGTGGTTCTCGTTGCGAAGCCTAATCACCTGTGACCACAGTTCATCCAGGTGCTTCTGTTTCCGCATCCTTGACCTACGAGCAGATTCTCTATTAGATATCATTCTTCGCTGTTTCCTTTCATCGATGACCCCGAGCTGGTGTTCCTCGGCTTCATCTGAAGTTGAATTATTGCTGATACTTGAGGACTGTGCAGTGAATTCATGAGCAGGCAGTGGGATGTGGGAATTAGGTAGACTGTTTAAGAATCTACTGAAATGAAAAGCTGGTATTGCATTTTGCATCATGGCAAGGTTGGCTGGAATCAGGATCGGGTTTTCTGGTGCTAGGTAGTGAAGTCCTGTGAGCTCACCAGGAATCATGGTTTAAGTTCTGCAGTAGATGCCTGAAGCTGAAGCGTTCCAATTTGCTGCAGTGATTGTTGAGCCTTTGAAGGTAGAGGAGGACGGAATGAATCGGGGAGGTCTTATAGGAGGAAAAAGGTTTCTAAGGTGGGCCAGTTTTGGCAACAAGTGTAATAGTATCAGAGTTTGCAAGAGCAGAATTGAAACATTTATCATTAATGTATAAATGTTGCTGTGGTAGCTGATGCACCACTTGCTTTACATCACATACATTATTTCTAAAGGAAAAAAATGCTGCTCTAGGTGTTTCAGTCATGATCTAGTGACACTTATGTATGTATGTATGCATGAGATTAGGTGTGTGAGCACGCCATAGAAATTTCAGATTTGGATAATCATCTGGCATCTGACATAATGCTTAAAAGAAAGAAAACTTGCTTACGGAAGTCATAATTTGACAAGAAGAAAAAAAAGGCAATTGAGAAATGGCGTTGAAGTCAATGTCAATAGAGTGTTTCATACTTCAAAACTCCAGCAGGATTAAGGCTTTGTGCCTGATGACGCAATGAAGTCCAGTTTAAAAGGTAAACCATTAAATAAAACATAGTTTCTGACTAATTTTATTATAATCAGATGACTCATTAAGCACTTCACTTTTAAGACTGGAGGGTCCCATAAGAGTGCAATTATCTTGATAGTTTAACATCAGGACCGAAATCCCAGCAATCCCATCGTCTTTCATTGAACTGAACTGGGCAAATTTCAAACATGATTCTTGTGGATGCTCGTTATCCTTATGCTTGATTTCTTCAATCTTCCCTGTTTTTCCTATTCTCTGTCATTTGCATATTTTGATCTCTCAGGGCAAAGTTTAATACACCAAAGTAATGGTTTAAAGAAATAGTCCTGATTCCATACTAATACTTTAATACTTGCCTGCAATTGCTAACTCTTAGACATTGACTCAAGAACACTATAGAACAGTTATCTTGCAATTTACATGCGGGAATAGTTCGGTGCCTCTTTAACAGGTTATCAGGGTTGTAATTCTTTCATGACATATCATCGATTGGCACATTCACCATCCAAGTTCCTAAAGTAAATTTTTTATTTTTTAATTTTTTTTATAACTGAACTATGAAATGGCAGCATCTTTGTCAGCACATAATCAGTTGTTTGTTGATGATTAATAATTAATACATTGATGCTAATCTATATCCTTTATTGCCCACTTTCAAAGTTGATAAGGGAGAGATTATAAAAAATAAGATTAGATTGAAATAGTCTTGGCAAATCTCAGAGGCAGCAACTTGCAAACGCATGTTTTCTGCTATTTGTTAATGGAGCACAATATTCTATCCACATCTAATTCGTTTTAGAGTTTTAATAACACTACGAAGCTTAGGTGATTCCGCACTAAAAGACTAGATGCGAGTAGGGGAGCAACATAGAGAATTTATCATTACGACTTCATGTCTGTGCATGAATGCAAGAGGAGAACTGCTATAAAAGAAATGATGACAAAATATTTATATTTGAGTTAGAGAATGTAGCCTTAATTTTCCTCATGTCCTAGTCCTAACAGATATCTTGATGCCTTATCCCCTTTTTAGCTAGGCTCTGCTGATGTCAAATGCAGCAAAGTTATGCCCCACCTGTTAATGAACTAATTGTAATTACAAAGGCTGCCCTTAAGAGGGTAATATAAATCTCAGTGATCTTGGACTAAGCTATTGCAGAAGATTGACAGGCTATAAGGGTATTGGGAGATTTTGTCTGAGTGTGCAATGTGTACTCAACTGAGAAAATAATAGTCATTGTGTTTGGATGCTGTTGTTGGCATGGATCACATACCTATTTGCTAGATCAGTAGAATGAGAATAAGAGAGGTTGCTTTATTCCATTATCTGAAAGGATAAGGAGAATGCAGAGATTTGTGATCTCTTATGAATGGGAAATTTGGAAGCTATTCAAAATCTTTCATGTATATAAATATACATTATACTTCTCAGATATATATGAAAAAGAAGAATCAAAGCCAAACTTTTTGAGCAACACATGAAAAACTAAAGCTGCCAAAAGGAGTTGGATTGGGCCAGACAAGATTGACTGATAGTAAGTTTTGTGGGCAGAAAAATATACAAAACTTGGATGGGTCATTCCTACAACTTGATAGCTTGTGGGTACCATAGTATATGCAATTTGTGGAAGGTGAATGGCAAATTGGCTGTTCATCCATGATTTCAGGTGCAGAATATGAGCAACTGACATATGTCACTGATAATTTGACTACACTCTGCGATTGAAGATGAATTTTGTCCTGTTAATCAATGTTGGTGGTATCAGCCACATTCTTTCGGCCAGGGAACATCAATCACTATGGGTTGCGAACTTGTGGTAGCAACTGATAAAAGAAAATGAAGTATGTGAAATGTTATCATATTCCAAGTGCAGCTATACTTGGAACCTGCAATTGCACTAAATTAAATTGGTGTGCTAAGGTAGTTGTGGCATGCAATATGGCATGGAACTCAAATCCTTCACAACACTGACCATGCCCTGCAGTCCATAGAAATTAGCAGACTTTAATCCTTCACAGCACTGACCGTGCCATACAGTCTATAGCAATTAGCACTAATTCCAGAAAACTTCCCCTTGATTTCAAATGTATTTAGTTTTTAGCTAAAGAGATGGATCAAGAGAAGGACTATGACACTAGAAAAGCTAACTCATGAATATGCAAACACCTTTTGAATCACATGTATCAATTGCATACACCATACAGGATTAATCCTATGTTTTGCCTAAAATTGGACCTCTTTCTTCGATAAACGAAAATGGCTTGATTTGATTAATCATTGGCAAATTGGAGATGAGCTAAGGTTTTGGGGACCTACCAATTAAAGAAAACAACAAAAAAGTTTGAAAAGTAAAGGAAGAATAAAAGGTATCATAAATGGCTTACACAATTGCTTTTTCTTTATCCTCATACATGCCTAGCCTAAGATGTTGCTATAGCTAGTATACAGACAGAGGAGGAGAAGGGGCACCACAAATTTGAAAGAGGTGCTACGTACGGAGGGGGACTGGATTTAATACCTAACCCATTTTGTGCCAAACATCATCTTAGAGGGCAACATTGGAATTGAAACACGTAATTCTGCCCCAGTGGGCCCTTTTTACTAGCGAACATGATGGGTGCCTGGTGCACCATTTCTGCACCCAATTGCACAGCCTGTCAACTCAACCCATTATATGAAGTCTCTCTCCCTTGCACACTGGTGCCTATGTCCATAGAATAACTTGTTTGTTTCCAAATTCACAATGAAACTAAGGCTTAATACCATGAATATTCAAGATGACTACTATATTTCACTGCTAGTGAGTTTTATATATGCAATATCTTAGGAAAATTTTCATCAAAAGAAAGTGAAGCCATGACAACTGTTAGGGGAGTCTGCATATATATACTTGCACATTGGCAAACAATAATCCATCATGGATATGGGCTATGCAATATAAGGTGTGCATTACTTTTACTACTGCCTCTGAAAATTTTGTTGTCTTAAAGAATTGGCTACTTCAGTAATGGTAGGAGTCTCTTGGAAATTCCGTGACCACACAGGCTACCATATCAGCATCTGCTTTCAAACCCTTTTAGGCTTCTCCATCATGGAATTGCAAAATATTGGTACCATCACCTGTACCAAATGTGCACTGTCTCCACTTTCCCCCCACTTAAACAACCTCTACTTTTTTTCTCTCTCCCCTTTTGATTTCTTTCGTGAGGTCATCACCATTTGCAGTGATTGGTTCAAATAGGATAAGCTCATCACATCTTTCCTCTTCTACTAAATTTCATGATCCCCATTCCCCATATTTTATTAGAATACAAGTTGCATTTTCATCAGTTTTTTCTTTACTGATATTTTTCAAAGCCTTCACACTGCCTTGTTGTCAATGACGCATAGTTTGTCTGTTTTATAATAATAATGGTGGATGGTGCATTTAGAATATTAATGACTTGCATGCTTGTATTCTGACGCTTATTTAACTTTATTAAGGTCTTAATCCACTAACAATGTGGATACTAAAGTTGTTTAGGTGCTTTAAAGAAATGTATTAGTTTAATTAGTGATCTCAATATTATATAAATCAGTACTACACCTTCATTACCCTTCTGGATTTTGTTTAATAGTGCTATGTTTTGAGCTTTGATAGCCCTAAGGGCTCCTACAGGAGCCATTCATCAATCATTAATTGGATTTTTTTTTCATGAAAGGAATGGTGTCCCCATCATATTCTTCCTAGTACAATCCTATAGTCACAGTGTTGCCAAACTTGCAACCAGTAGACGTGCTCAGTGATCAATCTCTTTCTATCAGAATATTCATCAATGATATGACGGTCCACATCTCTTGTGAATTTGTCTTGCAAGTAATCCAATGGAAAGACCTAAGTTCTTTCTGGCAAGCCATTGGTCGCTTGCTTAGTGATCTCATACCATATTCCTGAAAACGAATCAGCATTAAGAGGTTGATATGAGCAACCTTCTTAATAATATATTATTTGAATTCCCATAGGAATGACCGAGGAGACTCTTCAAGTACTCTGAGCCACAATTCTCTTTGGCCCCACGTATTAACTAGCCAATTCACTAATACCAAATACATAAGCAATATGCTCATACCGGTTTTGTGGAGATGTATGATGCTTTTCTTACCATCATCATCACTTTTGAACCTAACCAAAAAGGTGGCGTAAGCATGTCAACTTCAAAACTTTGGTGTCTTCATTAGCAAGTAAATTGCATCAAGGGATTAGCTCAATTTTCAAACAGTTTACAGTATGGTTAACTAAACCATGGTTGTTTATATGTGAAAAGTAGTCCAAGTTTTATCCAACTATGATTTCCCATTTATGACATTGCTTGATCTATTATAGTCCAAGATCCTTTTAGATATTATGTCTGCCGGTTAATTTGTCCTCCAATGCTTATGTGCAGAAGTAACATATAATATAGTAGCATACTGTACAAAGATATGCTTTTTTCTTATATCAGAATAAGAAATAAATAATAAATTAGAATATGAATCAAATTTCGTTGAATTTAGTCTCATTATAGTTGATCTCACTGCTTAAGCAATACATACAAAACATAAATGTGTCAAGTAGCAGGCTGGCTGCTTTACTGCAATTGATTTGGTTGCCCCATTTTAGAGCATCTTGCACTTAATAATGGAATCTCTTATAAATTTTTCTGCCAATTAATAGTTTTTTCCTGTACCACATTTCTAGTTCTTGGAGATTTTTAGAGTTTATTGCAGATATACTTGGTGTTGACTTTACTCTCGAGAAAGATCCATGAAACACACTCCTGTGTTATAGCTAATTCCTCATCCTCTCAATGTGAAGTCATTTAGGGAGCAAGAAGTGCTATGCAAAAGGTCTTGAGTGGTAATGAGTGCATTTTTGATTGCACAAGGGGACACTTTAGGCCTATTGGCCTCCCCATTTTTGAATAGGACAAAACTACTTGCCTTATATATTTCCTTTCTCACACATTGAAACATATAATCACATTATCAACTTTGTCAATAATTCTGATACTCTTCTTTTTCTTTATAATTCTTTTGATATTGTGGTCACTGTTAATGTTAGCCACTTGCTCTATCTTCATCTTTAGAAACTAACAAGATTGCAATATGTATTGTTCTAAACAGCTTTAACTATTGATCCATCTGAACTTATGGACAAAAACAGAAACAGAAGCATTATCCATATCTGAGACCAGCTTTTGACTCCAATCAATCCCTCAAAGTCTAATGGATGATTCTAGTAAGTTTTTATGCAATTGTAATTAACCTGTTAGGTACTTGTTAATTTTATGTGCAGTGAGTTGGCATTTTATGATTGTCCGACATATAAAACTGTATATAACTCGAGGGATGAAAGGGATACTTCAAGATTTCTAGCAATTTATTTGACCTAGCAAAAGGTGTATGTTAATCAACAAACAAAGGATAACAGGGCACATCATCAAACAGAGATGTTAAATGGTGGAAATGGAAAACTTTTCCATATGCTGAAAGCGCTCTGTCGATCTCATTGTTTTGAGGAAGGGTTTTGTATAACATTACTATATTAATTCATAGAGTAAGTCTGTCCTTATAGCTTGCCAGGTTGCCTATTCTTGCACCAAAGAAACTTTCTGGCTATAAGCATTGGCTTAAAGACATCTATATCTGAGTAACATTAGCCAGTTTTAATTATAATGATAGTGACAAAATTGAAGTTTGCAAACTTATCTGATATTAGTTACGGAATTGGAATGATTATAGATATATGCTTGCTGATCAGCCGTGCAATTTGTCATAATTAAAGCGGTAAGGCCAATAGTTGAATGACAAATTGAGAAAGCGAACTGAAAGGTCCATGTTCAAGCATGGACCTAATTCCACTGGTTGCTTCAAGAGAAGCTGACGAAAATAAAATCCCATTGGTTTTATTTGCTGTCATTTTTGCAGCAGAACTCAGTGCCATCACGAGCGTGTAGGCATGCACTTTTCCATTAGTTTCTCATGCTTACAGCACCCACTATAGGAACTTTTCTGCTCTTACCTCAATATTTAGTTTGTCTTGGTTGCTGGCATGTGGCTAAGCCTAGAGCCTAAAACTTATTCCACTCTCTTGACACTTTACTGTGGAGCTACAGGGTTCAAATCAAATAGGCCAAAATTGCTTTCTTGGGTCACAAGTGAGTCAGGAACCTTGACAAACTGCAAGGCCTTGCCTTCCAAAATTCTCTGAATCCAGGCAAACGTAATCGTTGATCCTAGTCAAAATCAAATTGCTGTTTTGATCAATAATTCATGAGTTAAGATTTTGGTGATTGAGTAATTGTGATGTAACCAAATTTACTTGGCCAGAGAAAAACCTTGTGTTTGAATAATGATAACTTATAATATGTTATTTCACCTTTCCTAAATCAGTTGACAATCACAGAATTTTCATTTTGAGAAATTTAAAATGCCTAAAACTTGGAAGTATCGTTCCTCTCTGCTCTGCAATAAATCAGGCAGAATAGAGTGCTGACTTGGTTTTCTTTTTGGTCAAGAATGCAAATTGAACGAAAAAACTACTAGAACATAAGATTATAAGATTAACTTTCTAGCATAATGCCCCCATTAATTAAACTGTATCAAAAACAGGAGTTGACAAAGCTGATATGTTGAACACAAACTCAAAAGGAAAAAAAAAATCAAATGCAAGACAGATTATGTAGATGAATTCACTAAGCCCATTTTGCCATCAATGCCATAATTCCAGCACCCAGTAACACTGCAATATATGCCCAAGCCTGGAGCTTCATATTTGCTTGAAGCTTAAGCCCCATAAACTCAGCAGCCAAGAGATCTACCATAGCCATATAATTCAGCAACCCTGCTGAGCAAGCATTTAGTAATCCTACCACAATGAGTGCTGTCGGGCTGGTCTCACTGTATACACTTGACAAACCAATTCCTAGAACAATTCCAAATGGAGTTGTGGTTGCAAAGAAGAATGCCATTACAAATTTTGCCCTGTCCCGATATTCAGCCTGCAGAATCATGTAGAATATTGTTCATCAGTAACATATATAGTACTCAACAGTAAAAGAGAAAAAAATAAAAAACTATATGAAAAGGGATGAAAGCTACCTATAGACTAGCTAGAACAATAAAATTAAGAATTGAGTATGGAAAAAGAGATGGATCACTCACCTGGAGTATGCATCCTCCAAGTCCCATTCCCTCAAACATTTGATGGAAGCAAATGGCAGCAATTAGTGGTCTTATGGTGCATGGATTATCAGAGGCTCCAATGGCAAGACCTATTACCACTGAATGAACTACAATTCCCAACTCTAGCACCTGCATTTGCAAAATAGATGGTGATTAGTTGCTTGCATGATTATGTAAACAAAATACAAAGATAACTCTATAGGCCAAATTCTCTGTCAGATACATTGATGTACTAATGTCATAGACAATTAATGGACTGATAATTTATAACTTGGCAAAAGCAATATTTTGATTTGCTTCTAAATTATAGAAGCCGATCACCATTCACCAGCAAGCTTCTACAAATCAACCAGTACTGAACCTAAATTCAATGAATGAGAAAAATTCTATGAACCCAAATTCTCATTAATCTATATTTGTAGGGCCATGGTAATTAGTTAGTTCTTTCCTTTTAGGTCACAAAATTTTGATACTCATCATTTTTACTGTCAAACTCAATAATGTACCTGAGCAATTACACGATGCCTTAACAATTGTGCTTCTTTGTCGTCCTCGACAACGTTACCTAGTGCATGGCCATGTCCATGTCCATGTCCGAAATTCTCCACTTGGCCGTTCCCGTTTTCCAACATCCCACCATTATCAGCCACAAGAGCTTTAGCAGAACGTTTCTTGTACATACTCATGGCAAACGAATCCACCATAAGGGTCAATAAAGCCGACAGCATTGCCACGAAAGTCGTGAAAGGGAACTTCTTCCATGGGTTTTCAGGCAAACAATCGGACATCAAGTCGTTAAAAGAGTCCGGTAATACGTGCATGTACCCTGTTGCTAGAATAACACCAGAAGCAAATGCCTTTACCACCATGAATAGGTTCCTTTCGGGTCTAATTGCTGGCACTACACGAGAAAGCAATGGTGAGCACACACCTATCATACTAGCGACTAGAATTGAACCAATTGCAATGAGTTTTAGTTTGGTAGCTTCTGCTTTGTCATGGCATCCATGCATTGATTCTGCTTCACATTGAGCAAATGCAAGTGGGGTTGATAAAAGGATGAGAATAACAATGGGAAATGAGAGTACCGCGTGAGATTTTGACGATGAGGCCATGGCTGCAAAGAAAGAGTAACACAAATATATGAGAGCTTAGTGTTGTGCTTGTCAGTTTACTATAAAATATGAAGTATTTGAAAGATTCATGCATTTATCATTTCGCTAACAAATGTCCCAGGAAGATTCTAACAATCTGTTTGAAAATGTCAAAACTGCTGATGTAAATTTTTTTTGTCTAAAATACCCTCAATTGTCTTCCGATGGGGTGAATAGATATAATTAAATATATGGTAATTTTCATGAAAAATTGGGGTATTGTGTCAATTGCGACTAGGGACTAAGAAAAACTTGCGCTAGGCTTATGTTAATTGTGGCCCACCACTGACTTTGACCTCTCCTATTTCACCAGCACACGTCAAACAACTGTCTTTTGCTGACGTGGATTTTTCCCGATTAATTCATACATTTTTCTGATAGAAAATCTACGAAAGGTTGAGCCCAGGATTTAGTCGGTGAAGCCCAAGTTTTTAATTTAGAGGCCCAAGGCAGGAAAACCACCTCCTGTTTTCCATCGATTTCATTTCATCTTCAAGAGTCTGAAACTTTTGCATCTTCTCAGGCTTCAAATACAAACTCAAAAAATCTCTAATGTTATTACTAAGAGACAACCTTTCTATACCATTTCTGGTATTAAAACCAAAATCCCATCTTAAAAACCATGTTTTTCACGCCAAAAAAGAAACCCAATTTCCAAGACTTCCACTTTTCAGAAAAAAAGACTTCCTTTCCTGCAATCTCAAGGTGTTTCCTTTGTTATTAATTTTATATTATTTTAACTTATAGTTTGTTTGTAACTGGGTTGTGATCGTTTCCTGTTGTTGGGATTTGATTAGATGGTCAATGGGGTGAGGTTTGATGTTCCTGTAATGGATGCTAATGAATTGGAAGATGGTGATTTGATGATGGAGACCTGCATTACACGCACTTTGCCTCCAGCTTTGACACTTGAGCATGGTCTCCAGGGTATTAAAGAGGTGGTGGAGGAGTTGAAGCTTAATCCTCCTTGTTCTTCTTCTGGGGTTTTGAGATTTCAGGTATAGCTCACACACAAGAATTTTACTTACATCGAGGGTATAGGAATGTATGGACATAATTGCTGTTTTCCGGATTATGAATTTAGGGGTATTATGGTTATTGTTGTAGTAGAAATTTTCAAATTCGTGGTTGTTACATAATTACAATGGGATTCTGTTCATTTAAAGCTCCATTTTTTAAAGTCAATTTGCATCTCAAGACGATTTCCAATGAGAAAAGAAGCTCCTTTTATGCCATATCTTCTAGATATGGTTATGGTGTGCAAATTTGTGTGATATGAATATATAGGTATGTGAATCAATACATACATAATTGATGTGGTTTATTAGTCAGGATAAGAAGAAACTATATTTTGACGAATAGATTGTTATTTTTTTGATTAATTTGTTAGAATCAATGCAATATAACTGTTTTATTTGCAGGTTGCTGTGCCCCCCAGTGCAAAAGCGTTAAATTGGTTTTGCTCTCAACCAGAGTCTTCTGGTGTTTTTCCTTTGTTTTTTCTTTCTAAGGAGATGAATAGTCCAACATGTAAATCATTATACCTGAACACAGCTCGTGGAGTTTTTGGAATTGGAGCTGCTGTTTCCTTTACAAACTCTTCTTGTGTCCCAGGAGAGCTCGGTTCCATCAAAAGGTTAAGGTTATTCTTTTTTTGACTTGTGTTTCTTCTTTTTCTTTTTTTTTTTTTCTTTCTTAAAGTTCTTTGGGCAGTAAACATGCTGTCATAAAATGTTTGAGTTAATATTCTTGATATCCATGTCTATCAAATGATTCTTTCAGTGTGCCCTTCATCATGTGCTAGTTTTGTAGTGATTTGTATTGCGCCTAGTTTTAGCTTATTGTTTTTGACAAAGATAGAACACAAGAACATTATATTCATACATTTGATTTATGCTGAAAAATTGATAAAAGGAGAAGTGGTGTGTGATGGAAGTAGCCAGAAAATGATCATGCTTTAATCTACTGACTTTTTGTTAAATGTTTATTCTTTCCATTGGTTCATGAGCTTTACAACTGTAAACAACTTTGATTTACATCTGTCGTGGCATATGGTGACCGAACTTTAAAATTTTTGGTTCAACAGTTCTTCACTTACTCTGTTCTAGCAGTATTTGAGCATATTGTGGCCCTGTATGCATTTTTTAATGATTACTTGAGCATCATAGCTGTTCTTATTTGTTTTCTGGTACAACCGTAGCTTTTTTTTTTTTTTTTGGGTGCAACTGTAGCTTTTTTAAGAAACAACTTAATTTGTGTACTACAGTAATAACATTAAGTTGAGATTTTAGTGTAATTTCTACATTGGTGGGATAGTTATGTACAGGTGAAAGTTTGGATATTATTGACTCCTCTATGAAGTTAGTGTCTCTTTCCTGTTTGACCTGGAAAAATTTGTGTTTGGTTCTACCCTAAACTGCATGTTTGGTGTGAATGCAACTTGATTGTACCAACTCACACAGTACAACTACTGAAGGACCTCCCTGGAGTATGAACACTGAACAGAGAAAATTGAACCTTGAAGTTCAATGTTCTTGAATTATGGTTTTCCAATAATTAAATCTAGACGTGTAGTTTTTTTTTTTTTCCCAATTATGTATTTTTATTAAATATTTCTTTGGGAAGGCACCCGTTTTTTGATTAGTGGAAGGACTGTTAATATTTACTTGTTCCCATAGCTAAAAAATATACTATAGTTTGTCTGCAGATGTCTCTCAAATGATTCAATCCTTATGTCAACTTATGGTTTTGTGGATATTAATTTCAACACGGAATTGTCTTCTGTTAAGCACATGGCTGGTTCTTTTTACTTTTTCATTCCTCTGGTAAGCTTCTTTGCATTTTGCACTTCTTTTATGCAGTTCATACCTTTTTTTTATTTTTTTACCTAGTTAATAATTTAAGTTTGAATATTATGTGATTACTTTTAATCTCCTGCTGAAAGCGCTGCATATATTTATGGTTTTGCATTGTTTCATCAGATTGAGTTAGATGAGCATGATGATATCTCTATTTTAGCAGCCACATTGGCATGGAGTGATTCTTGCTTGTGTACATTTGAGCAGGCCATTCATTCTTATGAATCAGCCCTTTACCAGGTGCTCATATGTTCCCATCCCTTATCATGTGGAGTCTTACTTTTGGTTCATATAATCTTGTAAATTATGTTAGGAAGATGATTTCTGAATTCCAGTTGTTATAATATTTTGATACCAAGTTCAAAGGACTAATTAAACCAAGATGCCTAAACTTCTATGTTGACCCTTAAATTTTATATTATGGCACTTGTATGATGTCCCACATACTTTCTGTTACATGAAATATTTTAGTATTTTTTGCTAGGAAATTATAAAACCTTATTCTTAGTATTTTAGAATTAATTAGATTTATTTAGTGTATATAATTGTCTTTCACTCTATTCTGCATTGTAAAATTTGGCTAAATGAATAAAATATCAAATTTTAAGCTAAAACAGAAGCTCCGTTGACATGTGTGGGCATTTGGTTTTTCATGTAAAACATATTTTCTTGATTTTAAAGTTGTAAATGTAGTTGTTGAAACCATGATTTAGTTTTTCTACGTCTGGTTGGATATTTTGCCAGAAGTGGTTATGTTTTTCACTCTCAGTTCTATTTTTTGAAGCTTCTGTATTTTTGTTGAATTTGTTCAGGCAAGTTCTCATTTTTGGCCCGCTACAGAGAGATGCCACTCTGAAGGCATAAGAGCTGCCATTAGAAAACTTAATGTGGTTGAGGATAAAACCGTGCAAATGGTATGCATTCTGCATTCTGCACTCTGCTTTCTCTTCCCTTCTTTCCCAAGTTATGTATTGTTTGCAGATTCTTGTTTGGATTCAGTGACTTTTTATTTTCTGCTGCCTGAACTTTTGATCTTTGCTTCTTTGAGGATGCTGACCAATTTTGGTTCTAGCAAATTAGACTTTCATATGGTAATCTGTAAGCTCTCAATATTTTGAAGATTTATGTGTAAGTGTTAAGTCCATGCTCCAAACATTTGAGTTGAGAAATTAGATGCTTTATTGTTGATTTAACTAGAATTTTCTGCTCTCAGCATAGTTATTTTCTGTTTTGATCTGTTGTCAGCCTCTTTCTGTTTTTCTTGAAGTGGTCCAAGATGCTGTGTATAACCTTTTTTGGTATATTGTAATTGTTTCGTCTTTATTCTTACCCACTTTTCTGCTCTTCATGTTGAAGACTAAAAACAAATGATTGTGATTTATGTCTTCAAACAAAATTCTTTGTATGCAATTTTCAGTTTGTTTCTAGGAAAGACCAAAATTGAGAGTTATGTCAATGTTATTTTTAGGTGTTATTATTGATCAGAATGTTTTAATAGGTATATATGAATGCTATCTCATTGAGCGGAAGGGATTTTGGAACTTATCCCATGGAACTGGTATCTCCTTCTTCCTGGTAATTATTCGTGCTTAATTTTTTGTATTCCAATTTGCTTTAAGTGTGGTTTTATTTTTAGTAATTTTATAAGCTACAATTTAAAGTCCAACTATTGTTTATTGTCCATAGTTAAACTGAATTGTTATTTGAATGGTCTTAATGTAATAATATTTCCTTGCAGAAAGGGGCATCTTCTTTCAGGCAGTTCTGTTGCAAGTTTTCGCCAACTGTTGGTGTTGCCTGCAACATGGTATGATGCTTTGTGCTGGTTACTTTGGAAAGCATGCTTTTAAATATTTTGTTTGGGCAGCATGTGTAAATAATTGAAATTTGAAATAAAAAACTTTGTTCTAGTATTTTAAGACTAAGTGTTAGAAGAAGGAACGGCAATTTGTGGCAGTTTCAATTGGTTTTTTGCACAAACGCTTTGTTATATAAAAAATGTTTCGTTAAATATAACTGCAAGGTTTTGAATTGCTTCATTTAAGTAAAGAATTGATGGCTCTTCTTGCTGGTGTTGTATGCTACGTATATACGATGGAAAACATTACCAATTATTATTTTCTTCAATAAGTAAATTTTTGTTTATCCAAAGAAGCAGGAAGAAAAAATTGAGATGCATGAAATTTGTAGTTATGAAGATACATAGAAAAGAACTTGAAGGCCTAATTTTTTAGGATTAGTCAAACTAAATAAAGTTATCATCTTTTTACCATTAATTTTACCATGTATCAAAGATAATAACCTTCATATGCCTTTTTTCCACGTCCATGCAGCAAATGATGCTGGTTTTATGACCTTTATAAAATGTTGCAATAAACAAACTGGATGATGGTTTTTGATGTTATATCTCTCTTTTGGATTGTCAGTTGGATTGTGTCAGTGAAATGACCTATTGCATTCAAGATCATGCAAATATCAATGTTGTTTGGGCATCAATTATAATTGAAGAGTGCTCTCGCCTTGGTTTGACAGTAAGGCTTATAACCCATTGTCTGATATGTCTTTACTCAGCCGCATTTGCCTGATAATTCTTCATTGCAGTATTTTTGTATAGCTCCAGGATCCAGGTCATCCCCTCTTGCTCTTGCTGCTTCTCGTCATCCATTAGTAACCTGTATTTCATGCTTTGATGAGAGATCACTAGCATTTCATGCTGTCGGGTATGCAAGAGGATCTCAGAAAGCGGCAGCCATCATAACTACTTCAGGCACTGCAGTTTCAAACCTTCTTCCAGCTGTGAGTTTCAATGGACATCTATGAAAAATTCAAATCTTATTTATTGCCAGTCAAGGAACATCATATGGTCAATAATTTTCCATTTTTTTCTTTAATCAATTTGCCTATAGGGCTTTCACTACTTATCTTCTTACAATGTATTCTGCATAATCATAATTATGGAAGTGAAAAATCTTTAATTTGCGCTCTCTGTCCTTCTCATTTACTTACTTGAATTAGTTCCATGTTAATTTTTTGTGATTGTTTATCTCATTCTCTAATTTTATCCACTTTATCCAAATATTTGGCATACTTATCTTATATTGCATTTCACCTAATTAATGTGTTTTAATTATTGATAATATATAGGTTGTCGAAGCCAGTCAGGACTTTGTACCACTTCTGGTACTCTCAGCAGATCGTCCTCCAGAGCTTCTGGATTGTGGAGCAAACCAATCAATCAATCAGGTAAAAAGAAAATTGAAATAATCTATTTTAAAATTTATTTTGTATTTTTCTTGTATCACAACTGTTATTTCTCTTATATCCTGCATTTATACCTATACATCCATTTTCATATTTATTGGAATTTATTTTGTATTTGCTTGTATGGCAACTGATTATACTCTTAAAATCTGAATATATATATATATATATATATATCCATTTGCTTATTTGTGAATAACATCTTTCTCTTAATTTGTATGCTAGGTTAATCATTTTGGTTCTTTTGTAAGGTTCTTCTTCAGTCTTCCTCCCCCCACTGATCAAATCCCTGCACGGACGGTGCTTACCACACTTGACTCTGCTGTTCACCGGGCAATGTCTTCACCAATTGGTCCTGTTCATATTAACTGTCCATTTAGGGAGCCATTAGATGATAGTCCAAAAAATTGGAAATCAAGCTGTTTGGAAGGACTAGATACTTGGCTGTCTAATGCTGAACCATTTACCAAGTATATTCAAGTGCAACATTCTTATTTATATAATAATGGTACTCATGGCCTAATGGCAGAGGTTCTAGAAAAAATTCAAAGGGTTGACAAAGGGCTGCTACTCCTTGGTTCCATCTCTACAGAGGATGAGATATGGGCAGTTCTTCTCTTGGCAAAAAACCTTCAATGGCCTGTTGTGTCGGACATATTGTCCGGCGTAAGGTTTAGAAAGCTCTTGTCTTCCTTTCCTGAAGTTGAAGAGAATATCTTTTTCATTGACTATCTTGACCATGCATTGCTCTCAGATTCAGTTAGGGATTTGGTTCAGTTTGATGTGATTGTTCAGGTGTGGCTTCACTTCTTTCCTCTTTCACAGGGTTTACTACCCTATTATTGTTTTTCCCCAAAATGTTTTTGTTTACTGTTGATAACAGTTCATGAAATAAATTTTGCTATCTTATATCTAAGTGGGTATTTCATCGTTGATACCAAGTCATTCATAATCATATTGCTTTCTTCTTATTGATTTCTTCTGATTCTTAATTATAAACAGATTGGTAGTCGGATAACAAGCAAGCGTATCTCTCAGATGCTTGAGAAATGTTTCCCATGCGCATATATCTTGGTTGACAATCACCCATGCCGTCATGATCCTTCACATTTTGTGACGCATAGAATCCAAAGCTCTGCCATTGAATTTGCTAATATTTTACTGAAAGCCCAATTTCCACATAGAAGCAGCAAATGGCGTGGTGATCTTAAAGCATTGAATATGATGGTTTTTATCTAAAGCTGTGATTCTCTCCATGTTTCATTTAGCTTTGTGCTGATTATTTTATTGCTTCATCCATAGTCTCTGCTTTCTTGAGTTTTATGTTTTCTTTTCAGTCACTAGGTGATATGGCGCAGTAGGTTAAATATGGTTGCACCTTGTCTTTGGTTGGTCTAGCTGGCAGTGGCAACAATTCAGGACTAAATGAATTCATAAAATGTAGCTAGAATAGTCCTTGAATACCATGTTTTTGTATCATGGCTACTTGTTGATAATTTTTTATGCTGTTCTGTATTCAGGGCATTTAGACTGATTTTCATCTTGATTCTAGGCTTTAGCTTGATGGTCTATAGGGGAAATTCGACAGTACCTATACGGCATCTCGTGATTTTGCATTTATTGTGTTTTCCCTTTGTATTAGATGATGCAGAGAGTTTAGTAAATATGATTTGCATCTAATAGTGGAATAAATGAGAGTGTATAATGAGATATAAATTTTCTTTATAATGACTGATAATTATTTTCTATGTAAATTGGTCATAATTTTGTCTATTGTTCTCGTGTTCCTCCTTTTGTGTACCTCTGAAGTTCTCTTGCCGTCTATTGTAGGTTGGACAGGAGATATCATTTCAAGTTTGTGCTGAACACCGTTTGTCAGAACCTTATATAGCACATGTAATTTCAAAGGCACTTTCAGCTGAGTCTGCTCTTTTTATAGGGAACAGCATGGTAATACGTGATGCAGATATGTATGGATATAATTGGACAAGTGAAAATCGCGGTGTTGCAGATATGGTGTTGAAGACAGAATTACCATGTAAGTGGATATCAGTTGCTGGAAATAGGGGTGCTAGTGGAATTGACGGTTTGCTCAGCACAGCTATTGGTTTTGCTGTAGGATGCAATAAGCGAGTATGTAATCAATTTAATCCTTTTGGCATTTTTGAAGCAATTATGCATGTTACTTTTGGTCGTATTCATTGATTTAGGGGACTATTCCTTCTTCCTCTTTTCCTGTTTTTGTTGTACATGGAATGCAAGAATGATATCTTTCCTAAAGGTAGCAAACTTGGTAAAATCTTTGAACTTCTAAGTGACCACTTTTAGCTTTCTTTTTCTTTTGCCCATAATTAATGAAGCTAATTTCATGGGAAACTAGGGAAATTGTTGATAAGTTTTTGTTTCTTTTCTTCTTCCTTTAAATAATAAAATTCTCTTCAGATCTGTTGTGATGTAATGCTTTGTGATTTATCAGAAACCTAATCCAGAATAGCCGATGAACAATTTTTTACTATTTTATAATGTCTATCGGAGTTGTTTGTTAAATCCTTGTGCTATTTCGTTGCATCAATTCTGGTTTCCAAAAGAATCCCATTGGGAGAAGACATATGTGATTAGTTACTTGTTTGTGCATGGAGGCTTTGCACTCTTCTCTAGTTGGAATGCCCATTGTTTTTTATTCATTGAAGTTTGCCTACATCTCTATCTGGTCTGTTACTTTTCAAATTCTAGTGAAAATTATACCTAATAGGAATCGAGTTACTCAATCCCACAAAATTTTAGCTAGATTAATGATTTGAAATATATTTCAAAAAAGGGGGAGAAATTCAACTGAGCATTGACTAACATAAACTAATCTATGTTCTAGTTGTCTATTTGTTGGACAAGACTGACATGACAGTGTATATTGAGCTTCTTACACTTACCCCTTCTATATGGAAATTTAGCTATTGAAATTAAGCTGATCTTCTTTTCCTTCTTTTGATCAACATGTACCTTGGGCTACCTAGTAGGGTAGTCCAATTTACAAGTTCTAATTAGCATCTTCAGCATTCTTTAAGGCTTAATCTGGAATTTGGGTATATGGCTCTTGTCTATATATAAAAATTGGTAGCAATTTTTTGTTACCTATCTAGTTTCTGAAAAATGAGATCAACCGTAAATTCCTTTCATGAAATAAATATTTATATGCATTATATTATGTTTTCAGTTTCTCTTGTTTCAATATTCCATTTTAGTTTTCCATTTTAAGTATATTTATAAAAATATATGTTTAGGTGCTATGTGTGGTTGGAGATATTTCTTTCCTTCATGATACAAATGGATTGGCAATTCTGAAACAAAGGTAAGATTCTTTGTCCTCCCTGTTTTAAGCAATAATCTCTAAAAAAAAAATCTAAAACGAGAGGAGTTCCAGTGCTGGTAAACAGGAAGTACACAAGAGAAGGGACCAGAAGAAAAGAAAAAGGAATTCTAAAATCTAAAGCATCTGAAAACTCAAAATAATAATGGGTAAAAGTGAACTTTGTGTTGCAATTCAAGAACACACATGAATTAGACATGACATGCTAGAACTGCCTTTAGATGATGCCATCAGAACTTAGACTTGTTAGTTTACTGTTATAATGTCATTACTTTAACAATGTTTGTGTCTACAGGTGACATGCATGTAATCAGTGCCTTAGAGAAAATTTGATGGTTTCCGTTCTCTAAACAGTTGTTTAACAATTCTGATTTACCTTGTAATGATTTATTCTTATCTATTTCATGGTGGAATGTGGACCATGGAAAAATTTTTTACATTCAATTTATTTGTTTAAAGGATGTTGCGGAAACCAATGACGATACTTGTGATAAATAATCATGGTGGCGCAATATTCAGCCTCCTCCCGGTTGCAGATAAAACTGAACCAAGAGTGTTGAATCAGTATTTCTACACTTCCCATAACATTTCAGTCCACAAACTGTGTGAGGCACATGGGTAAATCCTACAACTTTTTGTTGGTTTGAAATAGTTCTCATGATGATCACATGATCATCATGCATGGATTGGATGGTTTTGACCCCATTTTTTTTGTTTTGAGTTACATATGGTTTATATAATAGTTTCAACATATGTTTGAATATATGATATAAAATGAAGACTGTGTCTGGTAATTTCAAAAAATCCAAATTTTCATGTAACTTTTTTTACTTAAAAGCAGAGAATGCACTTATAAGTTGGAATGTATTGAGGTTGTCTCAAAGTCATGATTTGTGTAGGAAACTTAAAGGACAATTGTCCTTATTTCTTCTTATTCAATCTACAATGAAGGAGTATCTCTAAATAAATAGGAATACAAAAGTTCCTTATTTGGAAACAACTTACATGAAACAAAAAACAAAAAATAATAAGAGGAAGGAGAATTATTCTATTCTAAAATAGAAACAAATATGTAAAAATTTGATAATCGGAATGGTTGACTAAATCAGAAGAGTAAATGAGAAATATTTCCAAAATAAGCTGCACTAATGTAGGAGAATCAGATTTGCACTAATGTAAGAGAATCAGATCTGCACTAATGTAGGAGAATCAGATTTCTACTCCATCTCAAGCTGGTTTATGAATATTAATCATATTCAGCTTGGATTTCAATCCGACAAAAATGCTTATAGGAAGAGCTTTAGTCAGAATATCTGCAATTTATGAACTTGTCGGGATATAGGCTAGTTTGACCGACTCATTTTCTATCTTTTCCTTTATGAAATGTCGGTCCAGCTCTATGTGCTTGGTCCTATCATGATAAACAGGATTTTTGGCAATACTTACAGTAGTTTTATTGTCACAAAACAGTGTCATAGATGTCACAGTCTGAACTTTTAATTCTCCAAGTAACCTCATCAGCCAAATTCTTCACAAATACAATGGGACATTGCTCTAAACTCAGCCTCAGTATTGCTCCTAGCTACAACAACTTGCTTTTATACTTCTCCAAGTGACCGAATTGCCCTCAACATAAGTGCAATATCCAGTAATGGACCTTCTATCTTTTACTGATCAAGCCCTGTCAGCATCTGTGTACACCTCAACAACCATGTCCATTGACTTCTTAAAATATAGGCCTTCACCAGGACTCTTTTTTAGGTACTATAGGATGCGATGAACAGCTTTGAGATGCTCCTTGATTTAATTATTCATGTATCTACTTACCATTTCTACTGCAAACCTGATATCAGGTCGTGGGAGAGGTAAATAAGCTTCCCCACTAGTCTTTGGTATCGCCCTTTGTTTGTGAGAAAGCTTCCATTTTCCCTTCCAATTTTATTATTTGAGTCCACCGGTGTATCGGCAGGTTTGCATCCAACCATGCCGGTTTATTTGACTAGATCAAGTACATATTTACATTGAGATACTGATATTCCATTCTTAGATCGAGCCACTTCCATCCCAAGGAAATATTTAAGGAACCCCAAGTCCTTTCTTTCAAACTCCTTTGCAAGGAGTTTCTTCAAATCATCTATTCCTTCCTTATGATCTCCAGTGATTATGATATCATCCATAAACAATAAGAATAATTGTTTTTCCATTATTAGTGAACTTAACAAACATAGTATGGTTAGATTGACATTGAAGGAATCTATAGCTGTTCATTGCCTTTGTCAACCATTCAAACCAAGCTCGAGGAGATTGTTTAAGTTCATATAAAGATTTTTTAAGTTTGCACGCTTTGCCCATGCTATCTTGCCTTTCAAAGCTAGGGGGAATTTTCATGTAGACATCCTCCTCCAAGTCACCATTTAAGAATGCATTCTTGTTATCAAGTTGGCGGAGAGGCCAATCCAAGTTGGTTGCTAGTGACAATAGAACTCTAATTGAATTGAGTTTGGCTACCAAAGCAAATGTCTCCTCATAGTCTATCCATCGGATTGAGTGAACCCCTGTGCAACAAGTTTAGCTTTGAACCTGTTTATACTTTCATCTACATTGTGCTTTATTGTGAAGATCCACTTACATCCAACCGTGTTTTTTCATTTGGGCAAATCTGAAATATCCCATGTCTCCTTTTTCTCTAGTGGCTTGATTTTTTCAAGAACTGCTATCTTCCAATCTGGTTCATTGAGGGCTTCCTAAATATTTTTTGGAATTTTTATATTGTCAAGGTTAGTAGTAAAGGCTTGAAAGTTTGGATTTAACTTGTCATATGAGATGTACTCGCAGCTAAGGTACTAGGTGCTTGATTTCACACAATCTCTTAATGCAATAGGAATGTCAAGGTCAATAGTTGGCTCACAAGTTTCAGGTTCAGATTCAGATTCAATTGGGACATTGCCTGTGTTAGTTTTAGGTTTTTGGAGACATGGATCAGGTTGATTTTTAGTGTTGGGCTATGTACAATTGTCCACTTCTTGCATAACCTTAGGGTTTGAAGAGTCAAGAGTTGTCTAAATAGGTTGGGTTTCGGAATCTGCATGGCTGATAGGTTAGGTAGGTTGAGAATCTAGTTTTGAAGGGGTTGGTCGGGAATCTGGTAAGGAATTTGGTTTTGAAGGGGTTGGTTGGGAAATTGGCAAATCAATAGCTAAGAATTGATATTCCTAAGTAGTATTCTCTCCCTGAATATCATTCTTGTTATGGTATGGAAGATTCTCAAAGAAGGTGACATCCATAGAACTATAGAATTTTTTTGTGATGGGTGAGTAACACCTATAGCCTTTTTGGTTTGGGGAATAATTGAGGAAGATGCATTTTAAGGCTTTTGGGATCAAGCTTGCTATGGTTTTGTTGGCTAATATGAACAAAGGCAATGCAACTAAAGAGTGATGGGAATGGAAAAGATCAACCGAGTTTGTGGGTAGGAAGCAAGGAGAGTTTGATAAGGTGTTTTAAAGTCAAGAACTCGAGAAGGCATTCGGTTAATCAAATAAGTTACAATGAGGACAGCTTCTAAAAAATATTTAGGCATATTGGAAGTCAACAAGAGGGATCTGGTCACTTCTATCAAATGTTTGTTTTTGCGTTCGGCAACCCCATTTTGCTGTGGAGTGTCGATGCAAGAGCTTTGATGGATAATGTCATGCTTGGTCAGGTAAGGGCCGAGAATAGAGTTGAAGTATTCCCTTCCATTGTCAGTTTTTAGGACTTGGATTTTGGCTTGGAATTGGGTTTGTACCATGCTATTGAAGTTTTGAAAGATTTGGCTAGCCTTGGATTTTTCTTTCAAAAGGAATACCTAAGTGAGTCGAGTATGATCATTGATGAATGTAACAAACCACCTAGAACCTATGATATTGTTAACTCTTGACGGTCCCCAAATGTCACTGTGAATCATTGAGAAAGGCTGGGATGATTTATAGGAAAGGCTAGGGTAGGTATTTCGAGTTTGCTTGGAAAGTTAACAAGTTTTACATTGAAAATCTTTAGAGATGTAATTGAATAATAAGGGAAATAGCCTTTTTAGGTATGAAATATTTGGATGTCCTAATCTATAATTCCATAACATCATAAGGTCATCTTTACTAGTACTAGGGGCTAAGGCTGTACAAGAGTTTTGTGGTCTCTCAAGTGCATCATCTTGAAGAAGGTAGAGCCCTGCACACATTCTGGCACTGTCAATAATCCTCCCCGAGCCCAATTCTTGAAATTCACACAAGTTGGGAAAAAATTTAGTGACACAACATCTGTCATTCATAAGCTTACTGATAGAAAGTAGGTTATAGCTTAAATTAAGGACACGAAGGATAGAGTTGAGTGTTATGTATTTCGAAACTACAATAGAACTTGTTCCTGCCACCTTTGAGAGAAAGCCATTAGTAATTTTTGCAGCAGAACTATCATAGCAAGGTCTATATGTGTTGAATAAGGATCCATCTCTAGTCATGTGATCTGATGCTCCTGAATCAACAATCCAAGATTGTGTATTTCCCCATTGAACGCTTAAGTCGTTTAGGAAATTACCTTTTGTGCTAGTAAACTAGTTTCAAAGGTTGCAGGCTTGTTTTGAAGGGTTTGTTGGAGTATCATCTCTATGCGACTTTCCTTATGCCATGCCTTTGCAAAAGAAGAGTCTCACTCCTGCTAGCCATAACGGAAACTCGTGTGGCTACAGTGTAATGGTTTAGGTTGAGTTGCTCTGATACCATGTAGGAAACTTAAAAGACAATTGTCCTTATTTCTTCTTATTCAATCTACAATAAAGGTGTGCATCTAAATAAATAGGAATAGTGAAGTTCTTTATTTGGAAACAACTTACATGAAACAGAAAACAAAAAAAAGATAAGGAAGGAGAATTATTCTATTCTAAAATAAAAACAAATATGTAAAAACTTGACAATTAGAATAGTTGACTAAATCAGAAGAGTAAATGAGAAATATTCCCAAAATAAATTAGGAAATCAGGCTACACCAATGCAGGAGAATCAGATCTGCACTAATGTAGGAGAATTATATTTCTACAATTTGAAATGCCAATTACATCATAACTTAGGTTCCACCGAGATTTCTTAATTATGTGTTTAAACAATTTGTGAAGGCAATGATATTTCAGCTTATTTACATTTTAGGTTAAAAATCTTTTGCAGTTCTTATGCAACTATATATTTCCTTTTCTTTTTGTCTTCAATACAATTAAAAGCTGCCGTAAATTTGAAAATATTTCTTGTTATTAGAAGTCTAAATCCATGTTGTATGCTGAGATTTTGAGGAGTAAGTTGGAAAGCCCTTTCCTCAAATCAAATTCTGAGAACTGAAATTTGATCAGCCAAACTTCTAAATGGCAGGTTGAGGGGGTGGGGGGTGGGGAAGACTTGTGAAGGTGAACAAGCTGATAGCACCAAACATGAATTATATTTCTTCTTTCTGGACCATTTTGTACTAGCATACTAGAGTAATAATGAAATTTGAGTTAAGGAAGATGAAGGTAGGCTTATGATGGGGACAATAGGAGTCATTTTAAAAGCTTTTTTGGTCATAAGAAATATGGAAAATTGATCCATGCTGCTGATTTGGCCAAGCTGAAAGTAGGAAATATGGATGAGTTTAATCATGCTATGACAAGGTCAAATGAGGGGTATGAACTGAAGCTGCAAGAAAGAGCCTGATTATAATGTATTCAGTTGAAGATATATTCCTTAATAGAGCTTAATGGTGAAAAAATGTACATCACTAACTTTGTTCAGGTTGTCTTATTCTAATTTATCAAGAAAAAGGCTTTGACATCATTTTTAAGAAATCTGAGTGATCCAGGTCTTTCTGGAATTGTGTTTTGTAAGACAGTACATCATACCTATTCACTTATTGTGTGTCTTTGTATATAATGAGGATTAAATAATCATGCTTAAATTGCAATCTACATGTGCCTTCTCATTAAGGTCTTATGTTGGTGACCTCTCAATTGTTGCTAAATACACAGCGTGAAGCATTTGGAAGTAAAAACGAAAATGGAACTACATGATGCTTTACTCTTATCTCAGCAAGGAGAGACAGATTATGTCATTGAAGTTGAGAGCTCTATTGATGCTAATGCCACTTTCCACAGGTAGCTAGGTTCTAAAGATTCTTGAGTAATTATGATTCCTTAGTTAATAGGTCAATGCCTGGATAATCTGCTGATATATCTCTCTCTTGATCAGTTATTTAAGAAAATTTGCTTGCCAAGCAGCAGATCATGCTTTGGGTATCGTTTCAAAACTTTCTGTTCCAGAATCCACGTCACAAGGGTGCTTTCATTGCAAAGTCCATTCAATGAGTTATTCGCTCTATAGGTAATGCTTTTGTAAGAAGAATAGATTTGAAACTTTCTTATCGGGGATTATTTAGTATATGTCTTTCAAATTTGTGTGGTTACAGAATTTCACTTTGTGCTCCACCTACATCAAGTATGTTTGATCATGGCTGCACTAGATTTTATAGAGAAGGTTTTATTTTGTCTTTGACTCTTGAAGATGGACATATCGGGTATGGAGAGGTTAGTTTCTGTTAAATGCATTATTTGTTTGTTTATAAGTTTGTATGTTATTATCACTGTTTTTTTTTCCTTTTCTTGAAATAATTATTCTATCTTGATTAGTTAGTTTCCTTATAATCTTCTGTAACCCTTGTTATTATGTTAGCTACCAGTCAGTCCTATTTATTTTTGCCTTACTCTGCTTTAAACAGGTTGCGCCTCTTGAAATTTGCCATGAGAACCTGCTGGATGTAGAAGAGCAACTACGTTTTCTTTTTCATGTGATGAAAGGAGCTTCACTTAATTATTTTCTGCCAATGCTCAAGAGTTCATTTTCTTTTTGGATATGGAAAAATTTAGGAATTCCGGTAGGCAGATGTATCTTCTTTCTGTTAATAAAACATGTGTATCTAGTAAACAGAATGTCAAAAAGGAAAAATGCTGGAAAACAAAAAATTAGAAGAATGGTCGCTGCTAAGTGCATATCTTTTTGAGATTTTTTTTTTAATGGGTCCTGATCTTCAGTGCTTGGCTTCTTTAATTATTGTTATGCAGGCATGTTCACTCTTTCCAAGTGTTAGATGTGGTTTGGAGATGGCAATCCTCAATGCTATAGCAGTAAGCCAAGGTTCAAGTTTATTGAACATACTTCATCCTCATAGGGAAAGAGAAAAAGAAAAATCTGAAAGATTGTCAAGCATTCGGATATGTGCTCTTATTGATAGTAGTGGAACCCCAGAAGAGGTTGCTTGTATTGCTGTTGGTCTTGTGGAAGAAGGATTTACTGCAATTAAGATAAAGGTGAGTTAAACCTAAGTGATTGTGCTATTGGTATTGCAATTGACTTATGTTAACTGGTTTCTTTTTCTGTCTTTTCTCAAAAACACTTGCCATTTTTTTCCAAGCCTTCTGAAGCATATGATTAGTTAATTTTATTGAGGTCCTGTGTATTTTTAAACTGAATTTGGTTCATTGATTATTCTTCTACAATAGGTTGCACGTAGGGCAGATCCTGTCGAAGATGCTGCTGTTATACAGGAAGTAAGAAAGAAGGTTGGTTGCTGTATTGAACTTCGTGTGGATGCCAATCGTAACTGGACGTATGAGCAAGCTATTCAATTTGGCTTCTTGGTGAAGGATTGTGACCTGCAATATATTGAGGTACAATTTTTAGAAAATTAGTAAACATGACTGCTTTACTCCCTCATTGGTCACAAGTTTATTACTGATTTGGGTAACAATTTTGGTATTTCAGTTGTGTGACTTTAACATTCATATATTTCAGGAGCCTGTTCAAGATGAGGATGATATTATAAGGTACTGTGAAGAAAGCGGCTTACCTGTGGCATTGGATGAAACTATTGATAATTGCCCAGAAAATCCTCTGAATATGCTTGTCAAGTATAGTCACCCCAGAATAGTTGCTTTGGTGAGTGACATTAAATTAGAGCTTATTAAATCAACAGGGCATGCATCATTTACTCATTTATTCTTGGTGACATCATGTGGTGGTGAGGCACTGTTAATTAGATATGTGTTTCTTATTAAGTTGAAGCACTCTCTTTCTAAACCTCAACCTTTATGCTTAAATTTGCCCATCCAAATTGTAAGAATGTTGAGCTAGAATTATGCAATCACATGGTTAGAATCATTAAGATAAGCATTTTCCTTACAAGTTTTTTGTATCGGGAAATATGCTAGAGCGCAGGCTAGAAAGTGCATTTGTCCCCTCCATGGTTGTTGATATAGCTACTGCAATGATCAGTAATTAAGTTAATCCATGAGAAGTTGAAAGCCAACATCTGTAATACTGGTTTCCAACATTACAGGAGCATTATTTCTGTTAAGTATCCATCATTCTTATTGTTGCAATCATCATAAATCATAATTGCTATCATCATTATCAAGAGCAGCATGCTTCTGATAAGAGAGCAGCATAACTTACAAATGGGAGTTAGCATGCCATTTCTTTGATAATAGGAAACTACTCTTCCTTGTCGCATCTTTTAGAGCATCAAAGTGACTTTTATCTAGAAGTAAACTGTGGAAAAACTAAGAAATAAATCATTGTGGAAACTGAATGTATATTGAAAACTGCTCATTGAGAATTATACAAGAATCTTAGGTTTATATACAACTAACTAGGGGTTAAACTAGGAAACTAAATCTTCCTAAAAAACTAATCCTATAATTGAGGGATTGTTTATCCTAATTTTAGGGATACAAATACTTAATTCTAGAGATACAAATATAAATATACAGATTACAAGATTACAACCAGTTGTAAATAAGTGTTTTCCCACACTTCCCCTCAAGCTGGTGAATAGTTGTTTTCCATTCCCAGCTTGGAAATAATTTCTTGAAATGTTGTACTGCTGAGACCTTTAGTCAACACATCTGCAAGTTGACCCTTGGTTGATACATAAGGTGTACAAATCAACCCACTGTCTAGTTTCTCTTTTATGAAATGCCGGTCTACTTCAATGTGTTTTGTTCTGTCATGTTGCACAGGATTGTGTGCAATGCTTATTGCATACTTGTTATCACAGTAGAGTCTCATTGGTCTATCCCACTTGATCTTCAAGTCTTCTAGGATAATCTTTAACCATAGTAGTTCACAAATTCCTTGAGCCATTGCTCTGAACTCTGCTTCAGCACTTGATCTTGCCACTACATTCTATTTTTTACTCCTCCAAGTCACAAGATTACCACCTAAGAAAGTGCAGTAGCCTGAGGTGGATTTTCTATCAGTTACTGAACCTGCATAATCAGCATCTGTATATGCTTCTAGAATTAACCCCGAATTTCTTTTGAATAAGATTCCTCTCCCAGGATTGGCCTTTAAATAGTGCAATATATGGTAGACAGCCTGTAGGTGCACTTCTTTAGGACTATGCATAAATTGACTTACCACACTCACAGCATATGCTATATCAGGTCTAGTATGTGAGAGATAAATGAGTCTTCCAACTAATCTTTGGTACATCTCTCTATTTACAGCAGCATCTTCATTAGCTTCTCCAATTTTATGATTAGGATTTATAGGGGTATTTGCAGGTTTACATGCAAGCTTCCCAGTTTCCTTCAGAAGATCCATCACATATTTCTGTTGTGAGATGAAAATACCATGCCGTGAGTGAGCTACTTCAATTCCTAGGAAGTATTTCAATCTCCCTAGCTCTTTTATCTCAAATTCTCTAGCCAAACACTGTTTTAGAGATTCTCTCTCTTTTCCATCATCTCCAATTACAATTATATCATCAACATACACTAATAGAACTGTGACTCTCCCTGAATCAGTGTTTGATAAACAATGTGTGATCTCCTTGACTCTGTTTATATCCCATTGCTAGCATCACTTTGGCAAATCTCCCGAACCAAGCTCTAGGAGACTGTTTAAGGCCATATAAAGCTTTTTTCAGCGTGCATACTTTGTTTGCTTCTAGATGACCTCCAAATCCCGGTGGAACCTTCATATATATTTCTTCTTCCAAATCACCATGTAGAAAAGCATTCTCTACATCAAATTGTTGAAGCTGCCAATTGTAATTTGCAGCCAATGATAAAAATTCTAACTGTATTCATCTTGGCAACTGGAGCAAAGGTTTCCTGGTAATTCACTCCATAGGTTTGAGTGTAGCCCTTAGCCACTAACCTGGCTTTATACCTTTCAGCAGTACCATCTGCCTTGTATTTTACTGTGAAATCCCATTTATACCCCACTGGATTTTTTCCTTTAGGCAACTCTACCAGTTCCCATGTCTGATTTTTCTCTAAGGCCTCCATTTCTATTTTCATGGCTTGCCTTCATTTTTCACTGGATAATGCCTCGGATATGTAGTTGGAACAGAAATAGTGTTTAGGCTCACAAGAAATTTTTGTGGGATGGTGAGAAATTTTCAAATGACACAAAATTAGAGATTGGGTATAATGGATGCTTGGTACATTCTCTGGTTCCTTTCCTAATGGCAATAGGCAGATCATAATCACTAGTTATAGTTTTAGGAGATTCATGCTCATTTTGAGAAAGAGTCAAAAACTATAGTTACCTCATTTCCAGAGTTAGGATCAGGTTCTTGGACTGGCACTGGTTTAGGATTTGGAACTTTCCTTCTTGAGTACACCTGTAATTCCTTCATAGAATCAAGAACAATATTTTCCTTTGTCACATCTTCCGTATTTGGAATGGGTTCAGACTCAAATTCAGTGTTTGACTTGGGCTCAGTAGAAACAGGTTTCGACTCAGAAGAATTAGTAAGTGTAAATGTTGAAGAAGGGGGCAAATCAAGCAAAAAGAAGTCTTTATCCTTATCTTCCATGAATGAAGTCTCCCCCTGAAGATAAGGTTGAGTAAAAAATGGTTTATTTTCTTCAAAAGTGACATTTGCAGACACAGAATTTTTCGGTAGGAGGATGATAGCACTTATATCCTTTTTGAGTTGAAGAATACCCCGTAAAAATGCACTTAATCGCTCTTGGATCCAATTTTCTCCTGTTATGACTGTGAACATGAACAAATGATGTACAACCAAATATCCTAGGTGTGAGATTGTTTGTGGTATTGAGGTTGGGATAAAATTGTGAGAGTAGTTCCATAGGAGTTTTAAATCCCAAAACTCTTGAAGGTAACCTATTTATAATGTGTGGCAGTGAGAACAGCTTCCCCCCAGTAAGATTTAGGTACATTTGCTTGAAAAAGAAAGGCTCGGGTTGTGGCTAGTAAATTGCTATTTTTCCTCTCTGCCACTCCATTCTGTTGTAGAGTATTAACACAAGATGACTCATAGATAATTCTCTCTTTTTGGAAATAGGGGGATAGACTCTGGTTGAAGTAGTCTCTTGCATTGTCAAACCTAAATCTCTTGATTCTCACTCCAAATTGATTTTGGATCATGTTTTGGAAGCTTAAAAACACACTATTCACAATCTGATTTGGATTTAAGTAAAAAAACCCAAGAGACCTTGGTACAATCATCTATGAATGAAACAAACCGTCTCGCACCAGAAATATTAGGAATTGTAGAGGGACCCCAAATGTCACTATGAATCAAGTAAAAGGGAGTAGAACTTCTTTTGTTACTGATTGGAAAAGACACACGTCTATGCTTTGCAAGTTTGCAAATATCACAATGAAAATCTTCAACATTTAATCCTTTGAACAAAGAAGGAAACATGTTTCTCAAAGTTCCAAAAGAAGGATGTCCAAGACGAAAATGATAAAGCCAGATTTTGTCTTTATTAGAAGATTTTTCAGAAAGAAATGACAAAGGTAAACTATTCTTGATATTACTTGTGTTATTTGATGTCTCAAGATAGTATAGTCCATCCTTCTCCTTAGCAAGTCCAATCATCTTCCCCGAACTCTGGTCCCGAAATTCACAATAAGAGGGATAAAAAGTTACTTTGCAATTCATATCTCTGGTAAGTTTTTGTATAGATATCAGATTAGTAGACAATCCAGGAACATGAAAAACATTTTTGAGAACAAACGAGGGATTAACTTGAACATCTCCTAATCCTGCCACTGTAGTAAGTGAACCATCTGCAACAACAATTTTCTTATTACTAGGACACAGGTTATATGTACTAAACTTTTGTGATGAATGTGTCATACGGTCTGTGGTCCTAAGTCAATGACCCAAGAACTCGTAATAGGCTTAGCCAAGACATTTAATCCATGAGAACCAGAAGCTTTACTTGAACTAGAAACCTTACCCAAAGAACATACCACAGTAGGCTTTTCAAGAATTTTCAATAAGTTTTTCAGTTTTTCAATCTCTTCCCTGTCGAACTCTCCTTGTTTCTGAGACATCTGTAGTACTCCAGTGATTTTCTCAGTTGACATTTCCTCAAATTGGGTGGTAGTGATATCTTTCTTTGAAAGGGTTCGGCAATGAAGGCCTAAACAGGATTTGGCAATGAAGGCCTAAAATAGAAGTTAGCAATGAAGGCTGAAAATTTTGCTTCCCAAGAAGAGCCTAAAGCTCTGATACCATGTGGAAAAACTAAGAAATAAATCAGTGTGGAAACTGAATGTATATTGAAAATTGCTCATTGAGAATTGTACAAGAATCTTATTTTTATATACAACTAACTAGGGGTTAAATTAGGAAACTAAATCTTCCTAAAAAACTAATCTTATAATTGAGAGATTGTCTATCCTAATTTTAGGGATACAAATATTTAATTCTAGAGATACAAATATAAATATACAGATTACAAGATTACAACCAGTTGTAAATAAGTGTTTTCCCACATAAACATTATTATGAAATTCTTTTACCTCAAAGTGACTTTTTGCTATAATCCTGATCTTCATTGGTTTTATTCGTCCTTTCAGGTCATTAAACCAACCGCAATTGGTGGATTTGAAAAGGCTGCAATGATTGCACGATGGGCACAGAGACAGGGAAAGATGGCCATAGTTAGTGCTGCATTTGAAAGCAGCCTAGCTTTGTCCACATATATTCAGTTTTCCTGTTATCTGGAGATGCAGAATGCTGACACATGCAAATTGATGAATAATAAACTAGCTCCTTCTGTAGCTCATGGTCTTGGGACATATCGCTGGCTTGAAGAAGATGTAACAACTGATGTGCTTGGCATTGGTTGTAATTCATTTACTGGCTTTATAGAAGCATCTGTTGCTGGTGCTACCCATCTCCTGCACAAATTTCAAATGAACCACAATGTTATTCATAGAATGTTTACTGGTGAAGAGGTCCTAAGATACCAGTTGACTCTGGATTCAAATGATTTGTCCTTTTCCATCAATGTACTAGAGATTGGTCAAAGAATTGAGGTATGAAACTTGATGACATTTATTACCTCTTTCCTTTTTTCCCTTTTGCATATTGGAAAGAAACTATCATTGAATAGTATCTTATCCACAACGAGGGGGCAATTGTGAAATTTCATTGGTTCATCTCTTTACCATTATTATGTTTATCTTAAGATATTAATGCTTGTGAAACTTTATTGCATATATTTGTGTGCTTGACTGCATTTCTGTTGGTAGGGAACTGTGGTTGGAAGATGCCCATGCACTTGGGTTTTACTTGTGAAAGGAAACTTGAGACATGCTGTAGCAATTGTCTGTGCACTTGGTTTTACCTGCAAAAGAAAGCTTGAGACATGCCATAGCTATTGCTTGTTTTGAGTGATGCTGCACTTATATTTTGTGCTCCCCTATCGAATGTTAACCATTCCATAACTTTACTGATGCAGGGTAGTTTGATTGTATTTCTTCATGGTTTTCTTGGAACTAATGAGGAGTGGGTTCCTATCATGCATGCCATCTCAGGATCGGCAAGATGCATTTCAGTCGACTTGCCTGGCCATGGGGTAACAAAGATAAAGAATCATGGTGATGACAAAGATGCACAGCCACCAACATTGTCAATTGAGATAGTTGCAGATTTGCTGTCTAAATTAATTGAACACATCACTCCGGGTAAAGTTACTCTTGTTGGATATTCTATGGGAGCAAGGATTGCATTGTACATGGCACTTATGTTCAGTGATAAGGTACATTCATGGAGTTTGAGGTATCAGGTATTGGTTGTCTTTGAAGTAAAATATAATATTTGCATTGCTAATAAGCATAACTGTTTAGATTGAAGGGGCAGTTATATTATCTGGAAATCCTGGATTAGAAGATACAGTTGCAAGAAAAATTCGTAGGGCTAAAGATGATTCTAGAGCTCGCTCTCTTGTTACACATGGTTTAGAGCTCTTCTTAAACACCTGGTATTCAGGAGGCTTGTGGATGAGGTGCTTTCTTGTCTTTTTGTTTTAGCACTTTGAGCTTTTATGCTAGCCTAAGTTACATTAAAAAGTGCTTTGCTTGTACTTTGGTTCACCTCTAGACTGATTTCATTGAACAGCTTGAGAAGCCATCCCTATTTTAACCAAACTGTTGCTAGACGGTCACTGCACGATGACGTGCGGGGTCTTGCGAGAGTTTTGTCTGATTTAAGCACTGGAAGACAGCCGTAAGCTCTTTTATTTATTTATTTTTTGTAAATATCCTTATAATAGGTTTAAGTTTGTTAATAGTCCAGGTTTTATTTGTGAAAGTGAAAGCTTTTATGAAGGTTCCAAAGCAAAGCAGCATGATAAAAAGAATGTAAGAGTCATGCATGATTTTTGAGTCTGGCATAGACAATCAATCTTGAAGGAAACAATGATTATATTCGGAACAATGTTTTGGCTGCAAGCTAGACAACATTAAAGCGAATTAGTTCTCTAGTCACTGAACTTGTATCCAATTGCATAGCATCTTGAAATATTATTCTCATGCTCTCTTTCCCTGAAAATATTTTCATGATTGGTTAGTTAATGATTACTTGTGAAACAGCTTATGTAATTGTTAACATTGGATGCATTACCCTAAATATGAAAAAGTCTACCGCATATGACACTATCAAACTATGAGATTAAGTTTAGTCTTCAGCTTCCTCATCCCTTCACTTTTCTTCTTAGCACACACCTTGTCTAGTTCCATGTTGCTGTAAATGAAGCCTAACCCCATTCATTTAAATACGCCATGAGGAGACACTGAACCAACGCTTTATTCACCAAGCCAAGGAGGTTTGGTGCAAAGAGTGCTCCTTGTATATACATCAACAACCTTACTGCATTTTGATTTTTTTTATGTCATATGAGAACATAATGTTTCTGAATTGAAAGTACTTATAAATGCATGTCTTTTAACATTTTTTAAAATTAATTATAGGTCATTATGGGAAGACTTGAAGCATTGCAAAAGACCTCTTATGCTTATTGTTGGAGAGAAAGATGAGAAATTCAAAAAGGTGGCTCAAAAGATGTGGCACAAAATTGGTCATGGTAGTATCGACAGAGATGATCCAGTAAGCAAACTCCATGAGATGGTTGTGGTTCCCAACTGCGGGCATGCAGTCCATTTGGAGAACCCTCTCTCCATCATCAGGTTAGTGAGACAATTTTTGACCCGTCTAAAAAATGCTCAGTTCCAATAAAAATGCGTCATATATTTGGAGCCCTTGACAAAAATGCATACTTTTCTGAATGTGATGAAAACCATTAAAATTCATGTCAAGTTGGATGAATAAGTTTTCAAGTTTGTTCAAAATGTTTGTTCAAGCTTTGGTCACTGTCATTGTGCAAGGAAATTGGCCATTAGCTATGTAATAAAAGTATAAAACTGCAATTGGCTACTGCCATCGTCTTGCACCAGATCTAGAACTAACCTCAATGGTTTATGTAGCTATAAATCTTGTTCTGTTTTTAGTGAGATCTGTTGACTTTGAATATCATTCCGTTGTGAATAAACCATCTTATCATAGATTCTTGTGAATCTTGAAATTATATAATAATGGAAATAGCAACTTTAGTCATCTTTATATCTGGTTTACTTGTAAGTTTTATTGGGCTTGGCTTCGGATAACCCCCAACAATTAAGAGATCCATTCTAGAAAAAGGGCACTAATTGAGGTAATAAGCCTCCCAACATATCCATTTCCCCATCTATTATCAGCATGTGCGGTTGCTGTAACGATTTTTTTCTTTGGTTTTTTATAATTATCGTGGTTCTATCCATTAAAGTGTATTCTCTTGAAGACGGATTAAATGGCTAAGTTGATCTATTAAGCAATTTATGCATGACATATTTAATAGATAAACTCAGTGACTAGTACCAAATTGAAACCAAAATAATAACTTGAAGAAGAAAAATGAAAAATGAAAAATTTCATCTATAACAAAAGATAGTAAAAGATCTAAATTTTTTTAGTATAAATGAATTCATGGAATGAGAATATATGTAGGAACAGATTGAAATTGAAATTTATTATATGTTATTTCTATAAATGGTTGTATGAATTAATTAAGTTTTGGATTTGAAATCTTTTTGCCCTTTGGGTCTGCGGACATCCATGGGTTTCTTAACCACTCAACCAAACCTTAACAAAGGTAAGACTAGGGGAAAAAATGTTCCCACCATGATTTTTTTTTTTTGTCGAGAATTCTTGTTAAAAGAATTGGTGAGTAAGGATTGATTGAAAACAAAAGGTAGGTATAGAGAGAGTGGATTGAAAAGGAAAGTGGATAAGGAAGGGAAAAAAAAAAGCAAAGGACATAAGAGAAGCTGTGGAGCCTACGATTATGGTCATTCAGAGGAGAAAAGTAAAGAGTGAGATTACGTGAAAAGATATATTCATACTATTTTATATTATTGGACTGGCTTAGGGGTGGAACAATGGACGGATCTTTGGTTGGGAATCAGAGTGAAAGGAAGAAATTCAACTTTGCAGTGGAAATTTGGGAAGTAGTGGACTAATTACAAAGATACCAACAATTTTTGTTGGACGAAATTATAATGTCTTTCTATTCTTTTGTCTCGTAAAAATTGCACTTATAATCAAACAATTTCAATTATAATTATATAAATTAAGAAGACAATATATAATTGGATGAAATTCATATATAAAAGATTTGAATTCAAGATCTCAAGACTTAATCTAGTTAATTAATGTAATCACTTTTAAATAGTAATATTTGATAAATTTAAGATTTATATTTTAATACTTATAATTTTTTTTATCTTTAACTTGCGGTATTTTATATATATATATATATATATATATATATATATATAAACTGAATTGGAGATTTAAAGATTTCAAAACCTGCAATAAATCAACTTTAGTTCTTGTAGATCAGGCTGGTTCATTTTTTTTTTTTTCTCTCTTTTTCTTAGTTTGGCTTTAAAGGAAAAAGTAACTTTTGTGAAAACAATAAAGCAAACCAAAGCAAAATAAAAGTGCCATTTTATTTATTCACTCTATCAAATTCCAAGATATGGAGAAATCTAATTCCACAATAGAAAGTGCTACAGCATTCTAACAGTAAAAAGACCATTCCTTTCCTAGTAACGGCCTTGATTTCTTCCCATATATATTGTCAATCTATTAATTCCGAAGAAGCCATTGGCAACGGCGAGGTTTGAGTATGATCAGCTCCATCGCAAATGCACATGCAATCAACGCAGCGGCTAGGAAACCCTTGACATACTGAATTGCAGTCTATCATACGCGGACAGCAAAAGGGTCCTCTTGCTTCAGCTTCGGGCAACCTCAACAATGGCGATCCTGTCAAACAAACAAACAAACAAACAAACAATCTTACTAAAAATGGTGAAAGAAGATTAAAAAAACCAAAAGATGTAAAAGAAAAAGAGAAGATCAGGGGAGGGGACAGAAACCAACCAGATGCCATGAACAAGAAGATACAGATAACCAGCTGCTTGCCCCAAGTAGTTCCTTCCATTATTATTATAACGGCTATGGTATTGCTTTGCCTTTTTGGCACTGTTGTTAGGGAGATTTTGATTGTACAGGAATGGGTTTTATTAGGCAATACTTATAGAGCCTAGAGAGAGCAGTAAATGTTTTATTTCAAATCGTATCTAACTTTTTATGCTACCATATCTGATTCAATTAATTTTATCTGTATATTCCTAAGTTGACTCTTTTTTCCTAATTTTTAATTTTTCAAATATTTTATTTTCACACAAAACCAAAAAAAATTTAGCATATGTAATACTATGCTACATCTATAAATTAGATTAAAAGATGTCCGAAAATTTTAGGCTTGCAGGCGTTCGAATTAAATAAACAAAATCGATAATTTATAATTTACTTCAATTCGTTCGTATAATTATTTTTAAAATATTATATCTAAAAAATTTAAAACTCAAATTAGTCATGTGATTTACAATTCTTTCATCTATTTTAAGATTGAGAATTTTTTGTTATATCATTGTCTTAACGGATGGTGAATAAATTGTATGGTTGAATTCCCATGCTAGGCTGATTATAGAGAAGTAACTTAGTTCCATTATCACCTTAGGTTAGAGCAACATATACCATTTTTTTACTTTTTTTTTTTTTTTGGTAATAATTACACCATCATTTCCATTTTCTTTGCCATTTTATAATAGAATTTTATATATTTGAAGATATTTCACCGAGTCATAAATTACTTGACATTTTTTTAATTCATGAAGACTCAGCTTATTATTTATTTTACAAGATTCAAAATTGAAACCTCCGTCATATTTAATCAAAATTTCAATTTATTGACTTCCTTGAGAAAAAAATGCTGATGTTATGTTTGTCATAAATATTTTTCTGAATATCTATCATAGTGTGTCACCACTTGGCATTAACACATTTAGGCCAACATATTAATTCCCGTCAATGACTTAGTGATGTTTGGTAAAAAATAATATCGTTTTAAAATTCAAGATGATTTTTTTATTATAATTAAATTATTGTGTTCGATAATAATTTGAAAATTTTATATAATAATAATTTTAATCACTAAAAATAATTAGATCATTTATGAAATGATTTGAATTCCATCCAAAAAAAATGAGAAAAGTTATCTCAACAATTATTTTAAGATAAATTTAACCTCATAAAAATAGTTTGAAAAACATATTTCTCTTCAAATTCTTATTTAATTTTATAATTAAATTGATTTTTAATTATTTTAATTATAAGACAACTTATGTGACCTCAACCTTTAATAGTTTTGAATTATTTTTCATCAAAACTTATTCATATCTTATAATTTTCTACAAAGGATTATTATTATTATTAAGCCAATCAATTGGAAAGGACACTGCAAGGATTTGTTATATTATTAGGGAAATAGGAAGAAAAGGGCCAGAGAGTAAGCCCTCTCCTACAGCCACAACAAATCAAAGCAGAGGGAAACAAAGCAACACACCCCTACAAAAGGAAAAACCAAAATCATAGCATGACTCCACACGGCAAAACAACACACAGCCGGACAGAAAGAAAGATCCAGAAGTCATACGCCATAGCCATTTGGCATTGGCTTCGCGTAATACATTAGTAAACAACACAGCTCCAATCTCACTCATTGGAATATCAATTTTTCAGAAAACTTACGAAAGTCACCGAGGCCTGTCCACGACTTCGTTCTTCCACCAGCTAACAGCAATTTTTGAGTCTGATTCAATAATTACACATTCTTCTTCTTCCACTTAGCTAATAATTAATGGGTTCGTACGTTATAAGCTGTTCATTCAATAAAAATTGAAATTGTTACTTTCTTTTTAAATAATTTTATCATATTTTGAGGGATTTTTGGTGATTTTTTTCAATGTAATATTAAATGCAGTCATTTAAGATTATTAATGATTTATAATATTATACTAAATATATAATTTAATATCACTAATGATTAAATAATGATTATAGTTTTATCATTATAATAATTAAATCACTACATTGATTTAAAAAATGATACTTAACGTTAACTTAAAAAAATCTATTTTCTTATAATTAATTCCATTGAAATTAGATTTTAGAAAGGAAAATGGATTGGTATCATCTATTGAAAATGATTGAAGATTAAGCAAAACAGGTTTGATCATGATTATGGATCAAATTATGTAATTGATAAGTTACATGGAAAATAAATGGAAATAGATTTCTCTCTCTAAGTGAAAATGATTCGAAATTATGGAATTGAGCACGAAAAGTTCCACTACTTTTTTTTTTATTCACTTATTTCTTTTCCAACATATATAAGCAGTCAAGGACCCTCATTTTGAGTCCTTTAATAAAAATAAAATAATTTTTCAGGCACCACACTGGTCACAGAAACAAGAACCACCTACACAGTTATGGATTACGCAACCTGGTGGACAAGGTTTGGCACAGTCAGCATCGTTTTCGCATTTAGCATCCACAATCGATACAACGTTAGAGGCTAGCTCTGAGGCAGGCAAGCAACTACATTTGCCAGTTTTTAAGTCACAAAAGCCGCCATGTTTACATATGAATGCGCACTCTATGTCACGAGAACATTCTCTTGCTACTGAGTTTGATACACCTGCAAATTAAATAACAATGTTTCATCATGCAAATACTTCATTTAATCGATTTATTAAATTCTAAATATATAATGATCAAATATTGAAATAGAGAAAAGTTATATATGCTAACAAGAAGCTACAAGAAACATGACAAGAAGAGAAGCAACGCCAAAAGAAGCCATAGTCTTGAAGATGAAAAGAGATGAAAATAAGATTTAATTCTCTGTATTTTATATATAACGCAGATGAGAATGAGCTGATGATCTTAAACAAAGTGCGGCCTGTATTGGGGATTTTATAGCAGAATTTCCATGCCCTGTAACATTTATAACCTAAACGCATCTAAGTCATACGTTACCAGTAGATGATATACTTGCCAATTGTGTATAAAAAAATCCTTGGTAGAGATTTTGCAATTTAAATCATACATCACACTTATGGCAATAGAATAACTGCACTAATGAATCAAATATAGTACTATATATGGACGAAAAAAACCGTTTGTCTTATCATTTTATCCTAATATGGTAATGATTTATTGATTTTATTCTAATTTTGTAAATTAATTTATTTACTTATGAATTAAAAGATCTTGCTTTTCCAAATTTATCCAATAATACATGTCATGTTAATGAGTACAATAATTGAAACAAAAATATGGAGCAAGTGCATGACTACGTTTTCCATTTGAAAAGGATGCATCTTTTTAATTTTGGTGCATAAAAGTTCAGGTAATTGGAGGTTACCTAATATTAGGATCAAAGTATGCCATAAGCTTCAGTGAGTATTTATATTGGATTTATCGATCGCCCACCAAGAGACACTACATATTTTTTCATTTCACGAAAGTAATAATAATAATAATATATTAGTTTAAGATTCAAATTATGGCAGTCTTAAATATAAATAATAATATATTAGTTAGTTATTTCATGCAGTTTTCTTTAATAAAAAAAGAAACAAAACATATAAGAATAGTTTTTTTATTAGTTGGTAATTTAGTTAGGATCAACATCTAGATAAAGAGAGAGAAAAGAACCATCTTAATATTATTAATTTTTCAATTCAACGTTGAGGAATTATTTTGAACTTATATTATCAAGGCGTCTTATAACTTTGTTATCTAATCTTTATTTTTAATTTTATAATTTTATTTGAGAATATCAAACAAAGAACACAAAAATAAAAAATAATAATGTCAGGCCGTAATCATCAAAGGGTGAATTCCTACTTATGAAGAGAGTACTCTTTCAAATTTAATACATATCAATATCATTATATTAAAGTTATCCCTATTAAATTTAAAATTTTCATTTCGATTTTTGAGCTCTAATTTTTAAACAACTAACACTTGCCAAAAATAATGATTTGAGGGTTAATTAAGGTATATAATTATAAGAGTAAAGTTGAATTTGACTTTGTTATTTGCTTTTTTCTTACATTAGAAATTAAAAAAGGAAAGAATTTTGTGAAAAAATAATTATTATGTGATCATAGTTATTATGTAATTTATAATAATTATTTTCAAAAATAAGGAAATAGAATTATATTAATATTCATATTCATATATATTAAAAAATATAAAAAATATTATTTACATAAACAAATTAACATTTAATTTAATTTAAAATCATTTTTAAATATTAATTAAACAAATATATATTAAAAAAATATCGTCGGTGAAATGAGGACAATATTCTAGTATATATTATAATTAACTTAAACATGATTTTATTCTAATTTTATAATTATGAAATATAAAATATAAACGATGATTTTGTATTAGATGTGTTTGGTAGAATAAAAAAGTGGAAGGATGAAAAATAGAAAGAAAATGAATTTTAAGCGTGTTTAGGAAAAAAAAGTGAAAGAAAAAAAAAAGAGAAGATAACTATTTTGACAGTTATTCTCAAATACAAATAATTTCAAATTGAAAAGATAAGAAAAAAATGGAAGAAATGTGAATTCGTGTTGCATATTTACAAAATCTATGTTGAATTTAATAATCCAATATAACAATTTATCAACCCTAGAAACTTAATTTAGAGAAAAAAATAAAAATATATGGAAAGTTTTAATTATATGAAAAAAAAACTGTCTTAAACTTTATTATTATTATTATTATTATTATTATTATTATTATACGATTAAAGTGGATGGAGACTAGAACTAAATAAAAGAAATAAATTCAACTCCCTCAAATACGCAGGCAAAAACAAAAGACGAAGATTTGAACAAAAATGAAAAACTTTATTTTATATTATAGAAAATTACATCTCATTTTGTCTTTATTTGTTTGATTGTTTAGGAAGCATAACTAGAAACGCATTGTCCATTAACACAGCTTTGGAGAGTGCATTTAGAATCACACTTCTTGTTGCAGTCAGAGTCATTGGAACAACTTATTTTTGTTTGAAAAACAGTGCATTGGCATTGCCCATTGATGCAATGTGCAGTTCCCCCATGACAGTGAATTGCTTTGCAGTCTTGTTCACTGTGGCATGGCAAAAATATCTGCCCTCTCACTCTCTGTACCATTGAAAATGCCATTGCTGCAAAAACAAAATTACATTTAATTTAGTATTATAACATGAACATTAACATTACACGCCTAATTTCCATCACGTGTTCTGAACTTGAACGAGTTCCACAACCCAGGAACCATTGATTAAGCATGCATATGCAACAGAGAAAAATGTACAAATTATCAATTGGTTAATTTACTGAGAGTAAGAGAGGACTTACATGATGCAATTAGCAAAAGGATAAGAAATTTCATATTAAAGCAAGCTTTTTCCATAATAATGTTTAGGGATTGGAATTCTGAGAAATTAAACTGGTGAAAGGAAGGGTATTTGCTGATTCCCTACGATGAATATGAGGATTTCTGATTGATCAAATCACCACTGTTTATATAAGGTGGGATATTATGACCAAAACGCTTCCATAACTGTAATTAGTAAAGTCTCAAAATGTTTTGGACTTGTAACGTTTCCTGTAGAAGCTTCTATACATTTCATGATATGGCAAGATATTTAAGTGGCTTAAGTATATTGCCATATATATACATTTTCATCCTCCTAATTTTGGTAATGCAGTGTAATAATGACCAATCACATGGTGATAGTTTTTTTTTTTTTTGCCTATATTAAATAGGAGTTGGTAACTGAAGAAATTAACTAATTTAGATAAAAATACACCAAAAACTTTATTAAAGAATAATAATGCCCCTTAAATCATTTGTATGATGATAAATAAATTTGGTCATGGGTCATGTCCTATTTTAGCTGAGTTTTGAACAAAGTTTTTAAGATCGATCCAAACTTAAATTATTATTTTATTAACAAAAACTATTTTTTAAAAAAATTCAATTCTAAAATATAATTTTAAATATTAATCATTTACATTATAATTTACAGTTCACCATTTTCTATCATCTTCAACTTGTCCAAGTAAAAATAGAATATAAGATATTATAATGAATGTACACTCATCAATTGAAAATGGCAAGAATATACATCGCAAAACAGGATTTCAGTGGTCATCAAAACTAACCCAAGGAGGCAGGTTTCTCACTCAAGAAATATAAAGTTAATGCTGAAATTAGTGCAAATTAAGAAAATTAGTCTCAAAATGTATAATAGCTTAAAAGTGGTCAGTTTCCCTCTTTTCACACCTTCTACCTTTGAAATTGTGTCGGTGCCACCAACAGTTACAGCACCAGAAGGCCCGACTGCAGTTATATAAAGTGATGCATCTTTTGACGGTTCACCCACCTGTTTCAGAAGAAAAAGTAAAGATGATTCAAATGAATTATGGTCTTTACGTATACACTCTAAAGGTTCATCAAAGGTACATCATGGTTTCTCGACACACCAATCAAAATTTTCAGTTAAAGAAAAAGTAGGACCTATTTGAGTTTAGAAAGGATAATAATTCCATTATATTCAACATAAAGCTAACTCAAAATCTTCAATGCACGTACGGTATAATATTTTGAAGATCAAAATGTGTCAAAGGTACTATTCAAAATTTAAAAATTTAATCCCTTTAATTTAATTTATAAAAATTTAATCATTATATTATTATAATTTAAAATTTTAATTCAATCATTAATAATATTCATTTATTCTGACATGATTATTGACGAAGCATTTTCATTAGTTGTATTAGTTTTAGTGGATTAAAATATTGGCCACGTGACCTACATAAATCCACATCATCATTAACAATTTATTTAATTTTTATTCTTTAATTACATCTCCCTAATAGTTTCTCTAAATATCATAAACAAAAAAAAGTCTGAAATTAAAAAGGCAAAAAGCGATTTCTTGCCTGCAAAATTCCTAATCCTTACCATTCAAATGTCATGTTTTTTATGTCGTTTCATTCCCTTATTCTTCACTATATATATTGCAGCTCTCTTAAAAAAAATTCCAAATCACAGAAACTAGAAGCTTCTCTGTCGTCGCCGTCGCCACCATTTCGTCGATCACCGTCGTTGGCTCGCATCTATTTGAGCCCAATTTTCACCAAAGCTTCCTCTCGACAGCCCCTTCCCCGTTCCAAGCTTAGATTTTTCCAAAATGGCCTAGATCTACCTATATTTGAAATCCAATAGTAAAACTTTAAGTCGCAAAATCTCCTCCTACCACTGTCAGATCCTTCTAAGATTTTGATATGTTGCTACCCTTTTCCCACTCTTCGTTTCTACCGTTCCGATCATCCAAAATTTTAGCCGCCGTGGACCTCCTTTATACTGCAGTCGCTCATTCCGCCAGCGATAGCCCCTCTTTTTTGTCTTTCCTTGTTCTTCCTTCTTTACTTCTTTATAAATCCAAACCAAACCCACCTAAGAACACCTATAAACCCATGAAGTCGTCCTTTTTTGAAACCAAAGTTGCTATTTTATATATATATATATATATATATTTTGATGTGTTGGTGCTGCTTCTCCCTTTCTAGGGGATGCGTTTTTTTTTTTTTTTTTGCTTGTTGGTGATGGGCATTTTGCTGGTTGATGGAGCGCTGGTACTGTGGATTGGTTCCATAGTTTCGGTGGTGGATTGGTGGGTGATGGGCTTAGGTAGTGTCTTTTTTGGTTGTGGGGTATGTTGTCAAGATGTCGATTTGGGATTTGAGAACAAATGAAAAACAAAGGACTTGAGAACAAAGGATTTGGGTTCAACGGTTCTTCTTTCTATTTTTTTGTTTTGATTTCTTTCAATTTTAATTTTTTTGTTAATGATATTAAGAAAATATTAAGTATAAATAATATTTCAAATAAATTGTTAATGTTGATGTAGATTTATATAAGCCACGTAACTAGTATTTTAATTCACGTCAACATAAAAATAATAAAAATCAATGAAAATGTCACGCCAATAGTTACGTTAAACAGTTACGTTAACCATTAAATTGAAAAAATTTAATATTGTTAATAATTAAATTGAAATTATTAAATTATAATAGTAGAAGGATTAAATCTTTTTAAATTAGATTAGAGAGATTGAATTCTAAAATTTCAAAAAGCATAAGGATTTATAGCATATTTGGACCTATTTTAAATAATATTGTACAATATCATTTAGGATGAATTATTGTCAAAAACACTATCACTTAAGACCTTTTGATTTCCAAATCAATTGTGTGATTCATTTACAAAATTTTATTATTGATCCTAAAAAATTTGTTAGTAAGAATTTAATATATTCGATTAATTTATAAAAGGTATAATTTTGTAAACTTGAGATTTTATAAAATATTATTTTAATGATTATTTGAGATTTTAATTTAGTTTGATATTTATTGTTTTACATGCTTATGAGATTCATTCTATTAGCATACAACACTATTACATTTTAAAATTTTGGATTTGAAATGTGACAAATTAATGATATGAGCCAAATTTGTGATTCTGTGGATATTGGAGCTCTTAGTGTGATTGATATTTAAACACAAGTTTTGAAATTTGTGATGAAGATAAAAGTGATTGACGTGGATAAAAAAAAATAATGACAAGTTTGTAAGTAATTGATTTTTGTACAAGTTTTGATAAAATAGTAACCTTAAGCCCAAGGTTATTAAAGAGATGGATTTTGATATTTGGACAACTTATACATGGAATTGAGATAAGATTTTTTATTTCAATGATTTATTTTAAGTTTTGTTTATGGATCTCTCATAAATCATTAAGCACGATTTTTGTTGTATCTTGGAGTCAAAGTATGAAATATTTGAGTTGTTGTGAGATGATAGATCTATAAATGAAGTGACTTTGATGGGATTTTGATAAGTTGAATATTATATGTCTAAGAGTTATTATTTGAATGAAAAAAAAAAATCTTTTAAGGACATATAATATTGAAATCAAATTCTTGATATATAAAGGTTTGGGAGTTTTGTTAGGACATATGATGAATCTTTGATTATCGAACTAATTGTATTTCTATGATATTAAGTATGAAATGTAGGAATTGACAAGAATTAATATTGGTAAATTTGATGTACTTTTGGATTGATATTTATGAAATTTTTATGAATATTACTATTATTTTTTAAATTTGTACTTTTGGTTAATTAAAATTATGATGGATGTAAGAATATTCACTTAATTAGGCAAGATTTTGACTTTAGTGAATAGCATCTAAACTTAATAACGTTAATTTATATTTTGAGCATTTGTTGAAATTCAGTCATTAGATATATATTTTGGGGTATTATAAAATGTTGACAGTTAATGTGATTACATTAGGATTATAACTTTTGATTGAGATAGAATGTAAATATCATTTAGTAGTGTTTAACAGTGAATATCATTTGTTATGGTATAAGACATATGCCATGATTTTTGAAAAGAAACTAAGGCTGTGATCATTGAAAGACGTCCTTAATGAAGTACATTTTGAATGAGTATTTTGAATTATGAGATTATGTTTTATTGAGAATAAATAATTTTGCAATAAGCATAGAGGATATATTGGATAAAATTCTTTTGTCAAATTGTTAATAATAATATAATTGGTTACAAAGAAATTTTGAAATATTATGATGCTACGAGCTTTGTGAAGAATTCTCTTGTGATACAAAAAATTGATATGTAGAATTCGAAAATTATTAATATATGAATTTGAAGTTGTATTGGGCATTAAGAAGTTACGTTTGAGTTTGTGATACAAAACTTAAGGATATAATATATTTCATTAATTGGTACTTATTGCAGTTTATGATGATTAAATTAACGTTTGCGGTAAAAAATAATTTAAGCTTGATTACATGACTTGGTGTTCCATGGAATTTAAAGTCAATCTTTCTATTTTTATTTTGAGTGTTTAGAATTTGAAATGGTTAATATGATTAATTTGTGATTATAATTTTAAATTAAAAGGTAATATGAAAATTGTTGAATAATGTTTTATAGATATTACATTTATCATGTGCTTATGATGTATTTTGCGTATAAAGGTTACATGTTATAAGTACAAAAATGATTTCTAAAATGATAAGGTCAATTTTAATGATTATTTTATTATTCGATAATTTTGAGTATGAATGCAGTTTCAAAAAAAATTTAAAAAATTACGATATAAAGCGATATATTTTGTTAGTTTTTATAATTATACTTTTGATATGAATTGTATTATTTAAGTATATTAGTAAACAACACAAATCCATTCTCACTCATTGTGACGGAGAGTGAATGTGAAAAAGAAATTTTCATTTTGAGTCTCTTATTATTTAATTTAATATTATATTAGATTGAAAAATAAGAATTTCTCTCTTTTTTAATTTAAAAAAGTAAATAAAAAATATTTGAAGTGGATTTTTTGACTGGTGAAATGAAAAAATATTCTCTGGAGTTATTTTATTTTATTTTCATCTTAACGAAATATGACAAAGAAAGAAATATCAATTTTTGAGAAAACCTCCGAAAGTCACCAAGGCCTGTCGTCCACTTTATTCTTTCTCCTAACAGCAATTTTAGAGTCTGACTCAATAATTACAGCCACCTTGTTCTTCTTCCACTTAGCTAATAATTAATGGGTTTTTATGTTATAAATTGTTCATTCAATAAAAATTGAAATTGTTACTTTCTTTTTAAATAATCTTATCATATTTTGGTGATTTTTTTTTCAATGCAATATCAAATGCAATAATTTAAGATTATTAATGATTTATAATATTACACTAAATGTATAATTTAATATCACTAATAATCAAATTATGATTATAATCTAATCACTATAGTAATTAAATCACAACATTAATTTCAAAAGCAATATCTAATATTAGCTTAAGAAAATCTATTGTCTTATAATTGCTTTCATTGAAATTAGATTTTAGAAAGGAAATAGGATTGGCATCATATATCGAAAATGATTGAAGATTAAATCAAACAAGTTTGATCTTGATTATGGATCAAATTATGTAAGTAGTATAGGACCCTCATTTTTAGTCCTTTAAAAATGATATAATTTTCAAGGCACCACTCTCATCACATAAACAAGAGCCACCAAGACAGTTATGGATTTTGCAACTTGGTGGACAACCATTGATGCACTCGGTATCGTTTTTGCATTTAGCATCCACAGTGGGTATGGGCAAGCAATTGCATTTGTCGGTTTTTAAATCACAAAGCCCATGTGTTTGCATTTGAATGCACACTCTATGTCACATAAACATTCTTCACATTGTGCTATTGAATTTGATACACCTGCAAATTAAATAATAATTTTTCATCATTTAAATATCTTATTTAACATATTTGTTAAAGAGACTGTTTTTTATATGCCAATGATGAGATTTTTAAACTTCACAAACAGTATTAAGAACCTATTATGTGCACTTTTTATTATATTAATTTTTTATTTTTAATAATTTTAAAAAAATGTGGCAATCCCCTAATTTTATTGGTTAAGTCTAAAAATCTTCACCGACAATATTAAAAACTATGTTGTATATGCTGATATATAACGACTGAAATATTGAAACAGAGAAGATAATAGATATACTAGTTTTGTATGAGAATGTCAAATAAAAAAAACATAAACATAAAAGAATGACTTTAATTGATTCTCTACACTCAATTTTTTTGTTTATCAAATTGATTCATCTGTGACTATTACTTTTGATATCTTGTGAAATTAAATTTTAAAAAAAATTTGTTAAAAAACTCTAGACTTTTACATTTTACTTTAATACTATTATATAAAAATAAAAGTAGCAATTTATTATTTTCCTTAGTTGCCATGCCACTTTTTTTTTTTTTTTTTAATGTTAGGACCTCACCTTAGAAGGCGCAAATACATGTTAAATTTGAGTCCAGCACATAATCAATAACGTATTGTTTTTGGAATGATATCAATAATCTTTGATTTATGCCAATGTATATATATTGTAAGATTGGAAGATATGGTGTATGGCAAAGATGAATTAAGTCTCTTAACACCCTTGTTATTCACTTATTTCTTTACCAATTTTTGGTACAAATTCTATACTATAAGTGATAAAATTATTGAAAGGCCTAAATTTGAGTTCTCAGACTGAGACACCTCTGATAGAATGAAAACAGTATGTTTTCAGGCACTACACTCGCAGAAACAAGTGCCACCGAGACAGTTATGGATTTTGCAACCTGGTGGACAAACCTTGGCGCAGTCAGCGTCGTTTTTGCATTTAGCATCTATAATCGGTACAACGTTAGAGGCTAGCTCTGAGGCGGGCAAGCAAATACATTTGCCAGTTTTTAAGTCACAAATGCCGCGATCTTTACACTTGAATGCGCAATCTATGTCACGACAACATTCTCTTGCAACTGCGTTTGATACACCTGCAAATTAAATAACAATTTTTCATCATGTAAATATTTCGTTTAACCAATTTATTAAATTCTGATATATAATTATCAAATATTGAAATAGAGAAAGACTATATATACTAACAAGAAGCTACAAGCAACATGACAAGAAGAGAAGCGATACCAAAATAAGCCATATTCTTGAAGCTGAAAAGAGATGAAAATAAGATTTAATTCTCTATGTTTTATATATATTGTAGATGAGAATGAGCTGATGATCATATACAAAGTGTGGCTTGTATTGTGGATTTTATAACAAAATTTCTATGTCCTGCAACATTTTTAACCTAATTTCATTTAAGTCATACATTACTAGTAGATGATATCCTTGCCAATTGTGTATAAAAGGAATCCTTGGTAGGGATTATGCAATTTAAATCATACGTCACACTTATGGCAATAGAATAACTGCACTGGTAAATTAAATATAGTACTATATATGCACCAAAAATACCATTTGTCTCATCACTTTATCTTAATATTTTTTTCCACATCTAATATGGTAATAATTTATTGATTTGATTCTAATTTCTTGTTTAGAAATTAATTTCTTTACTTATGAATTAATAGGTCTTCTTTTTCAATTTATCCAATAATACATGTCATGTTAAAGAATACAAATAATTGAAACAAAAATAAGGAGCATGTGCATGGCTACGTTTTCCATTTGAAAAGGATGCATCTTTTGTTTTTGGTGCATAAAAGTTCAGTTAATGGAAGGTTACCTAATTTTACGATAAGAGTATTGTCGTAACGGTTTTGTGTCCGTCCGACGAATTTGAAAATGAAATAAAAAATAAAGGAGTCGCCACCAATCTTTTTTGGTTAGATGCGATTGGCCACCTACTAAAACATATTCTTTTAAAAAAAAATTTAAAATTAATTAAAATTTATTAAAAAGATAATTTTACGGTCTGCGAAACAGTCTGGGTTCGGGAGTCGGTTACGCATGGAAAAAAGATTAGCACCCACATAGCGCCCGTTAAAAATGGTACCAATTAACAATATGTTATCCTTTGATTTTGATAAAAATAGTCTAATTTTCGGTATTCGACAAAAAATTTTCTTGATTTTTTTTATTTATTAAAAAAATTTATTCTCTAGAAAAATAAATTAAAACCTTTTTATTGAAATAATTTTTAAAATGTTCCAGTACGTTGGTAACATTAGAAGAATTTTTTCTCACATAGAGATTTCTTAGGTATCGCTTCTCGGAATACCTTAGAATCTCATCTTTGGAGACTCGAATTTATTTTTCGTAAAAAAATATCATGCATGTAATGCAAAAATGTTACCATGTTTATGCACACATTTTATTCTCTTTTGTTAGAAATTTTATTAATTATTTTCTTAATATTCTTATTTAAAATTAAAATTTTGAAGAAAAAAGAATTTAATTATATTGAAGATTTTTTATAAATATTTCAATATGCTGGTAATATTTTACAAAAAAATCTTTTCACCTAGAGATTTCTTAAAGCATCTCTACTCGGAATACTTTTATAATCCCATCATTGGATAAAATTTCCTTTTTCCTTATTTATATTATTATTTAAATTAATTAATTTTATTTTTATCAAGAAAAGAAAATTTTATTATATTGAAATTTTTTTATAAATACTCCAATACACTGGTAGTATTTAAAAAAAACTTTTACCTAAAGATTTCGTAGGTATCACTATTCGAAATACTTTTAGAATCTCATCTTTGGAGGTCCAAATTTATTTTTCGCAAAAAAATAATGTCATGTATGCAATGCAAATAATAATATGTTGATGCACACATTTTATTCTTTTTCAAAAATTTTATTAATTGTTTTATTAATTTTTTTTTTATTTTTAATTTTGAAGAAAAAAAATTTTATTTGTATTGAAGTTTTTCTATAAATATTCTAATACACTGGTAATATTTAAAAAAAAATCTTCTTACCTAGGGATTTCTTAAAGTATATCTACTCGAAATACTTTTAGAATTCCATCATTAGATAAAATTTATTTTCTTCTCATTTTTATTACTTATTTTTATTATATTAATCAATTTTTATTTATTACTTTAAAAAAAGAAAATTTTTATTGTATTAAAATTTTTTTTATAAATACTCCAATACACTGGTAGTATTTTTAAAAAATTTTTTTACTTAGAGATTTGTAGGCATCACTACTCAAAATACCTTTAAATCTCATTGTAGGATAAAAATTTCTTTTTCTTATATTTTTTATTAGTTTAGTATTATTATTAAATTTATTTTTATATTATTTTATTTTTAAGGTTTATTTTAAAAATTAACAAAATTATAAAAATTTAACCACATATTTCATCATTTAATCTAACAAATATAAATATTTTAATATCATAAATATTAATCAAATAATATATAAAAAATAAGAAAATTTCAAAAAAAAATTTTTTTACTTGGACCGAACTGGTCAATGGTCCGATCAATGCACGGTTCGGTTCGACGGTTCGACTTGGTCTGGGTGAATCAGTGATTCAGTATCGGTTTGATTCGATTTGAGAGGTTCAGTTCCGATCCAGTTAGACTGTTCAGAGGTTGACGAAGAAGCGGATCGTCGGGTCGGGTGCTCGGACCCCGGGTCGAGCCACGCGTCGACTGGCGGATCCTCAGAGGTTAAAACGACGTTGTTTGGGCATTAGTGAAACGACGTCGTTTTGGGTTTTGGTAGCTTATATAAAACCAAGAATTTTTTTTTGGTCATTTTTTCTCTTCTTTAAAAAAAAAAAAACTTCATTTTTTCTCTCAGGCAAAAAAAAATCAGGACCGACCAACCGTCGTCGCCTCCGTGCCGTCACCGTTCATTGGTCATAGACCGTCATCACCGGTGGTCGAAAAATCTAAAAAAAAAACCCAAAAAATCATCCTCGACACCCTAAACACAAATCTGAGCTTGGTTTCTCCCGAAAGTAACCCAAACAACCCAGATCGACCTTCAAAGTTTCGACCAAAAAAATTTTTTTTTATGTGTTTTATGGTTTATTTTTTTTGTGTGTGTTTTTGTAGGTGTATTTTTGGTGCTGGGTTCCCCGTTACAGGGGACTGTTTCTGTTTTTTTTTTGTGTTTTTGCAAAAAAAATTTTTTAATCGAAGCTTTGTTTTTGTAAAAATTTTTGACTTTTTTTTTTTTGGTTCCCTCCTTCCTCGTTTGCAAATAACCAACTCTATTTATAGAGCCTTTTGGGATTCAAATCCCAAATCTTCTGAGATTCGAATTCCATTTTTTTCAACTAAGAAATCACATATGCCGTTCGTGATTGACGGCTTGAAGGTTGACCGTTGGCAGCTAGTGACGATGATTTTGGACTTTAAGGGTTGTGCATTTAATGCACTAGATTTGAATCGGATAAGGAAAAAGAAGAAGAAAAACGTAAAAAATGGGAAAAAAGAGAAAAATAAATAAATAAATAAATAATAATAATAATAACAATAATAATAATAATAATGGTGTTTACAGTTACCCCTCTTTGCCTATTTCTGTGAATCACGAATAAAGCAAAGACAAACAAACAACCATTTTGCTTGGAAAGATGAAACATTGAGAAAAGAAAAAAAAATTTTTTTTGTTCGACAGAAAATAGCTCTTTTTAACAGAGGTTCAATCGATATTTTTGAAAGTTTAAAAGGCTCAACAACTTTAAAATTTTTTGAAAAGTTCATCTCAACAGAGGCTCAACAACTTTAAAATTTTTATCTTGAAAAAGCTCATCTCAGCAGAGGTTAAAAAAAAATTTTTTTTTGAAAACGCTCATCTCAGCAGAGGCTTAATAACTTTAAAATCTCATCTGTTTTCAAATTTAAGTTCTCATCTTTGAACAAGTAAATTTTTTCTTTTGAATTCTTTTGTTTGATCATTGTCTTTATCAAAATCTTGTTTTTCATTAAGAAATGAAAATTTTCTATCTTTGTTACAACTTCTCATGGATGCATGTACTGAGTGCTCTAAATGTAATGCATGTAATGCAACAAAATTATGCATTATATTAAAAAAGTTCTCGAAATCTCTCGCTTTTGGCTTTTTTTTTATCAAAATTCTTATATGACCAATCGTTCTTAATATCTAACCATAATATTTTTCTTCTTCAAAAGTCTGCAACATCAATGTCTTGTCATGCTTTTCTCATTTTTTTCATTTGCTTTTGTCAACTTTAAAAGTAATGCTGAAATCTTTCATGTTTGTTTTTCTTTTCATCATTTTAAGTTCAAGACAAATAAAATACAATCACACATTTCTCTTATTCACTTGTACGATGAACAAAAATATCAGATAAGGATAAAGGAATGGATAGGCATTATTTTCAAAAGAAAGATAATGTATTTCATATGGCTAATAACAAGTGTACGTCAAAGTGTTTGAGTTGAAACAAATGTGTCAAAGAATGATCATAAGATAATCATGAACAAAATATTCTCAAATTCTTTCTAAAACTAAATCAGATAACTTCTTTGATTTTTCAGAGTTCGTCAAACTACACTTGCCCTTGCATTGTGGGATCTTCTTCTGATGATGTTTCTGCTTCACATCCAACCCGTCTTTTCAGGTTTTCAGCTTAGATAAGTCATCATTTTTTCTTTAAGCAAAATATTTCTTTACAACATATAAATTTATTAGGGTAGACAAATCACCTCCATCCATTTTCGTTAAAATCAATGCTCTACCAAAAAAGGCCTTTTTCACCACATATGGGCCTTTCCAATTTGGTGTCCATTTTTCTATATTATCATGTTGATTTGGAAGGATTTTTTTTAGCATTAAGTCTCCTTCTCTAAAGTAACGGGGATGAATTTTCTTATCATGTGCTATCATTATCCTCTTTTGATATAATTGACCATGACAAAGTACTGATAATCTTTTCTCTTTAATGAGGTTTAACTGCTCATAGCGAATTCGAACCCATTCTGCTTCCTCTAACTTTACCTCCATCAGGACTCTCAATGAGAGAATTTTCACTTCGACCGGTAGCACG